AGCACTCTGACAGGCCAACTCGCTGGTCCCGCTGGCCCCGTGCCAGCTACCTGCCGTTACCTAACTGTTCAGAGGCTTGGAAGTTAAAGCGGCGTAATGGAACGTAGAGTGAAATTATAAAAGTGAAATGATACCCTTTGCAGTCGATGCTGAGGGTCAGGGTAATATTTAGCTTGGTTGGAAGTTCCTTAGGGTGAAATAGAACCTGAAGTGCTAGAATGTCATTGTAATCTGAGTGACAGAGTGCCTTGAACAGTGAAAATTGGAAGTACAGTAGGGTGATGATTATACAGTTAATACAAAGCTTAGAAAAGCTGTATGATTTTCTCTGCAAGATGCAACAACTACCTCCAAGGGCCCAAAATGCTCTACCCAAATGTCCACACAAAATCTATACCCCACTTAAAAACCATCTGTACTATTCAAAATCAATAGGGACCAAAATTATTTATATTGGTGACTGCCTTCGACTGCCATTTGTGAGATATTCTACAAACATATATTGACTGTGGGGTTTGAAGCAGGCTTGCTTATTTGATACATCGACAATATGCAACAGGGAGAATGGGTTATGATGACAGTTCACTCTCTAAATAATGGATATCTGATAGCACAGTGATTCAATCACCTTTTTGATGCACAATCACGAGAGAGAGAAAGAGAGAGAGATAGAGAGAACACTGAATTCAAACAAATAACTTGCAGCTGTTCTGAGGCAACAAGACTGAGAGAATGCGAAGCCTTGGTCGGCTAACAAAAGTAACTATGGTTACGGCCGCTCGGCATGGCACTAGCTTCCACAGCTTCACTCCAGAAATAAAACTGTTGGGCTAAGAGCGAAGAGCAGGTAAAGACAAAAGATCGTGGGTGAGCACTATTTATAGCGGCCAGGCTTTACATAACCAGCACAGAGGGCAGTGTTGGTGCTGTAGAGATACTGGGTGGAGCGGCTGCTGCTGAATACTTCTAGGTGCTGGAATGCACTGCAGGCTTCTGAAGGGGGCAGAGGGGCAGAGGTGCTGGGCATGAGAGAAGGGAGAGGGCCGCGGAGAGAGGCGAGAGCCAGTCCTGGGCTGAGAGAAGGAATGGAGGGGGTCAGGGAGGGAGGAAGGGAGGGGGTGAGTGAGTGTGGTGGCATATCAGGGGAGCTCTATGTTGAAAGATAAGAAAGTGTGGAGGGCTTTTGTTGGTGGTGGTGGTGATGATGATAGGCCTAACTAGTGAGGGGAGGAGAGAGGGGGTACTACGCATGGAGAGGATGTTGTTTTGTTTTACCAACGGACGGATAGACACACACTCGACGCTCTGCTCTTGCGTCTGTCGACATCCCATGCTCCCCTGGGAGAGGTAGTGATGTCAGCGGCGAGGCGCCACCAGAGTGTCCGCCCGCTGCTTGGCGTCAACATCAGCATTTACATCATTGTACGACGCGCTAACGAGTGTTTGGGAGCTGGGAGTGAGGGAAAAACATTAGCCGAGCTCAGAGGGGCCAGCTTAGCCACGGGGTGTGTTGTGGAATCCACACACACAAACAAAACCTAAACGTCATAGCGTGAGCTCATCACAGAGCCACAGGCTGCCGGCATTCTCACCTAATCTGAAAACCTGTGTCAGCGGAGAGTTAGGTGATTCCCCCCACATTATCAAATCACCCCAGGACAAAGCCGCTGACAAGTCTCCCCTGTATCCATGAGAACGTGCTCCATTGACTCTAATGTACGTGTCAGCATGAAACAATGATCTAGGATCTACGCACAGCCAGTGAACTGCCTAGAGATACTCTTCATTACCACCATCACATCTTACACAAATTGATCTATTAGCATAATTACCCATTTATAGGGCTCTAATGTACTGCACTTTTCAATTGTAAGTGTAAAGCGATAGTCAAACTGTATTCAAAAAGAGCTTTTCTCCAACTACAGAAAAGCTTGATTAATTGGAAGTGTTGCTATATGCGGCCGGCAGATTTTGTATGGTGCCTGACGTCGGTCAGACTAACCATATGCCTAACCAAATCAAATCAACATTTATTTACAGTGTATTTTACAAACAAATGTGTCACAATACTCCGTACACACACAAAAGAAAGAGGGAGAAAGAAATGACAAAAAAGGGCAAAAGGTGAGGGAAAACAGTCCAATCTGACCATAACTTTGACCCTAACCTCAGCCCCATTAACCTAACTCTAACCTTTAACCCCAAACATATCCTTAACATCCCTACGTACAAATCTGCATGCTATACAATGTTCAATTCCAAATGGACCCCTTATCCTAGACACTCCTGTAGATCTGAAAGGATTGGATAGATGTAAGCAAAACTCCACCCAACCTATCAGAGGGTAAGGTAAAGCTATTTACCATATTGCTTACATTTATCCAAGCCTTCCATGTCTACAGGAATTCATAGGGGGTAGGAGGTAGGGGATAAGGGTCCATCTGGAATAAAGAAACACACTTGGTTATTAATCAGCTCCCTCTAGCATAACTTTGTAGTCATTGCATTCTAGATAGCTGTGCTGAAAGGGGGTTATTTATTTCCATCTCCAACCAGCATTACTTTAATGATGCCCTCCATATGTAATTTGCTTTTTTAAAAGGCAAACTATACAATAATTGAAATGTGAGATTTTGCCCAACACATTGCTTCCTTCTAACAGGGTATTTGGGCAGTCACAAATTCTCCAGATGAAGCATATTGTTGGCTGTAAATCCATACAGAGAAAACGCACCAATGAATAGGCCAACACCATGGGCCTGACTCATCGGTATATTATGCAGCCACATTAGTGAGCTCCGATGCCATTTGGCTATTATCCCATTTCACCGTGAAAAAAGGGGTCTTCAGAACAGGGGGAATGCTCGGTGAATGCTTTAGTCACACTGATGGGCCGCTCTCTTCAAAAGGAATGAATGCATTTTTTTCTGACTGACTGCCATTGCTTTGAGGGGATGTGGAAATGTGGAATACATTTCCTCAGTGTGTGTGTGTGAGTGAGTGAGTGAGTGAGTGAGTGAGTGAGTGGGTGAGTGGGTGAGTGAGTGAAAGAGAGAGAGCGAGCTAGAGAGAGCATGGTGTGTGTTTGTGGTTCTACCGTATGTATCACTTACTCAGGCCCAAGGCCCATGATGACCAGCTTTGCATTATCAGGTCAAGAGGTCAAATTCTAAGGCAACAATATATTACCCATGCACATTAGACCCAGCAGCACTGCACTAAACCAGTGGTATTCAAAGTCGGGGTCGCGTGGGAACTGCAGTGGTGTCACCAAAATGTAATAAAAAATATATTTGTAATAATTAAGAGTACAGATTATTGTATGGGACAATATACACATTTTTTAGAAAGATAATTTGAAAGATACAATGTTATTGAGTAAATGTACTTATTGGTTTCTTTTCACTTTGATAAGAGATGAAAATGCAATGAATTGAAGGTTATTTGTTGATGTAAAAATCTAAATTTACCGATTTTAAGGTCATGTCATGTCATTTGGGGTCGCAATAAATTCTTGGGGGAAAAAATGGGGTCACCAGAAATTCCTCTGCACTGTCGGCCTCTGCTGTGGAACCTCTGACACGTCTCCTCCGTACTTCCACACTCCAACTCAACTGTTGGTTGCTAGCGTTCCCAAAATTCCCAGGTTTTCTAGATTTGATATTCAGTTTGGAAGATTCCCGGAATAAGGAGGCTGGAAAACCTGGGAATTTGGGGAAAGTTACAGGAATTTTGCAACCCTATTCTACATTGGAACTGTTGTGGGTTAACGACGATGAACAATGAATGTCTCTCTCTATGTATATCAATAAAAAGGATAATTCACCATTGGCAGAATGTGAAATAAGGACAACAGCATTATTTTGTCTAATAGTGCTTATATATTTTTTATAAAACATGTCCAGTAGCCTACTTCCCAAAAGGGAGGGAAATTACATCAACACATAAAAGACATCTGCTTTATGTTGGTGATGATAGTTTTAAGATAAATACTGAATGTTGCGTCGCTAGCTTTTTCACCTTTTGCATTCATTCTCTAACTGTACTTTGGCGCCAGACTAGCTACAGCCAGTGCCGCTTCCTCCTGAGCATAGGCCTATTTATAGTACTGCGAACCTGACTGCGGCAAGACTAACCTTGAACTACACATCTATTCAAAGGCTGTGATAACATGAAAGCCAGAAAGGATTCTGTCCCAGGGTCACGCGGAAGCTGTAAACCAACATCAGTGCATTCAGGAGCCAGGCCCTCTGTAATGGTGTACACACACTGCTGTGTTAATGAAGATCTAGCGACTGTACACTATGCTCCTGTTGTGTTTGTATGTGTCTTGACTCTCTGCATGTCAACGCTTGAAAAGAAGTTGACACCGGCGATGCACTCCGAGCCTCTCCATTTTATCCAATTTAGCATTGGGCCCCTTCACAACGACGCCTCACCATGGTAACCGGGCGCCGCAGAAACAATGACTCTCAGCGGATTGACGTCAGCGGCTGTCCTTCGTGTGTCGCAGTCTGACAAAGGACCAGGATCAGGCTCCAACAGTGGCTCTTTCTCGATTCATCTTTCCTCGATTCCTCGCATCATCTCTCCTCGCCTCTTTCTTAAAACCCATCGGAGAAGGAGCTCCCAGGGACGGGTCCATGGACCATCTCGTCCAATACGGTTGAGGAGGAGGCTAGGAGAGAGGATGCAAGGAATCAAAGCGAGACAAATTGACCCAGTCACCGGTTACTGATCTGGAGGGTCACTCCTATCAGAAGTGTACATTATCAGCTGTAGTTTAATACATCTTAATAAGCACTGCTATAAACTATACAAAAAATATATTATTTTATGATTGGTTACCAAAACCAGAGGCTAGAGTAACAATACCACACAACAGTAGATATTGAGCAAATAAAAGTGTCTTTACTAAAAGGCGATAATGACTTTTGAATGTTAATCATCCTTCCCACAGACACTGAAAAAAAGTAATCAGCAGTCATCGACACAATACATAAGGTTTCAACATATTTATTGTTCTTCTCACTGAAGATGTAACAAACCAATGCAATGAAGTGACTCATGTTATTCCGTGCCACTCAGAATATCTGCTACCAGTGGAGATACAATACATCTTTCTCTTGTTTTGCATTGATAAAATTAACAGGAAACCGTTTGTTTGCAGTTAAACATTTGGCGAAAACAAAACGTATTCCTCAATTTATACTTGCTTAAATAAGATTGTAATTCAAAGTAACCAGAAATGAAATTAACCTAGGGATCAAATATTTGCTAAGACTGAATATACTAGTTCTCAATTAGGTCCACCAATTACAGGTATTGTTTTGTTCAACAGAAAATGCATGAAAAGTGCATTAGTTCCTGGTACAGTAGTCTTGATATGATACTGTATGAATGATTTCTGTCAAGACTATTATTTTACTACTACTATTGTTACTATAGTTCTTAAAAGGTTTCTGCCATCAAACAGACTTCTCTCAGTCAGGCGGCACTTGGGGAGTTCATTGATAAGTATATGGGGTATTCAAAAATAACCTTTCATCCATTTTACTGGGTATGGGCTTTGTACAAACACTCACTGAGACAGCCAAAGGGGAAGAATTGGAACATTGGAGTTGGTGTTTTGTAATCAATTGAGAAAATCATTATTTAAGAAAATCTTAAATCATAGACTTAACATCTGTCGACGTTAATGGCACATTTTAAGAGAACATCTTACAAAAAGCAAGATGAGATTTTTTAGCATCAGTGTCAATACTGCTCAGCCATTATCAAAACAGTTAGTGCCGACCAGCCGGTGAAGGGGTGGCTCCCTTGCCCCTTGCCCGTGCTGTCATTGTACTGTTCCCAGATATACCCTGTCTCCGCATACTGTCTGTAAACATTGTTCATGATATTAGTTCTGAGTTCCTGATAGAGGGCGGCCGCCTTCTCCTGATATGGCCCGTCAGTGTTGCTGTAGTGGTGCAGGGCCCTGACGGCCAGGTAGTTGATGTTGATCCATATGGGGCCCCGCCAGTAGGGAGCGTCGTGCTCCGTGTTGCGTTTCATGTAGAGCGGGTCGGCCCTGGACAGAGAGCGCAGGCCGTAGGGCGTCCACAGCTTGTCCACGTCCCTCATGTCTCTGAAGATGTGCTCTAGCTTGGGCGAGTCGGGCGTCAGGACGTGCAGCAGGAAGGGAAATAGGCTGATGTAGCCCAAAGCATTGACGAACTGCGGCTTGGGGGCCCGGCGGACCGAGCGTACCAGGCGCGCCACGGGAAACTGGTGCCTCGGCTGCCCAGGGGGCACGTACACCTTCTCCTGCTGCAGCGACACCGCCTGCGTGTGGTTGCCATAGTCGCTGAAGGAGCGAAGCTGGTCTGACCAGTGCAGCTCGTCCAGCAGTCCGTTGTCGCTGAGCTTCTGGTGGGTGCGCTCGTACTCCTGGTGGGGCTCTCCCAGCAGCCGGGCCACGCTGGCCATGATGCCCGACGCCAGCGCCATCCAGCAGTGCAGGTCCACGTGGCGCTCCTCGGCCGACGGGTGCGAGGCCCGCGGATAGTCATCCAGGCCAGACGTCAACGTCTTGGGATTGAGGAAGAGGTTGGTGTCCTTGTCGCGGCCCCGCCAGCGGTAGGAGTTGGGCAGCGGGCCTGTCTGGGTGGTGTTGTACCACTCGAACCACGTCTGGAGCCGGGGGTAGAGCCTGCGGAGGAAGGGCAGGGTGGGCTGGGAGGACTCTGCGTCCGGGTTGGCCTGGAGCTGCTCCACTAGCTTCTGCAGGGCCAAGAAGAGGGTGGGCGGGTTGGCGTTCTCGTTGCGCTGCACCACAAACTCGGCAGGGACCTTGCTGCGCGCCTCGTCGCCCAGGATCTGCTCCCGGGGAATCCATCCCTCCATATTGACTAGGTCCAACCAGTGGGCCGTGGCCTCCCGCGTCACCTGGGGGTCCCACTTGCTGAGTAGCAGCTGGTGGAAGCCTTCGTCCCACAGGAACCCCCGGGGGAAGAAGGAGCGCGAGGGCACGGCGGTGAACAGGGCGCCCTCAGGGTAGAGCAGCGGGTACTCGTTGTACACCGACTGGACCACCGACTGGCCGTAGAAGTAACCCATTCCACCCAGCATGTTGCTCAGCGCCGCCTTGCTGAACTTCACCTGGGCCTGGCCCAAGCCTTTGGCCTGGAGGCCGAACGTCTTCTCGAACTTGGCATCGAACGCCGCCTTCCTCTTCTCCAGCTCTTCCGTCATGGCCGCCGCTGAAAGCTGGTTGGGGCGGTCATGGAAGCTACCGGACTCGAACAGGACCTCAATCTGGAAGGGCGTCTGGACAGTGACCTGGTGCAGGACAAAGTCGCTCTCCTTTCTGGGGTCGGCTGGTTTCTGCTGGTGCTGCTGGTGCGGGGGCTTGTAGGTGTCCACTGCGATGTACTGCCTCTTCTCGCCATTGGGGGGGCTGTAGACAAACCTGCGGTTCAAGCTGTTCCTCACGATGTCCGTCAGCCTCTCCAAGCCTGGCGACACAGTCTGGAGGTAGTTGTAGCTGAGGAGAGAAGACGAAGGTGAACCACCCTGAAGGTAATATGAATCGCTCATGTTCTCGTCTTGCCAAAGCTTCCTCTTAGAATTGGAGCAAGACCAATACCCTTGACCTGCAGTCACCATAGGGTTTTATACCCTTCAGAGGGCAGTGGCCTCCTGGAAAGTGGCATGTCCTTTGACCTCTATCTGTGATTTCATACTACTTCAGCCAAGGGTCAGGGACAAAGAGTACCCCATACTGACCGATGTGTTATGTTGAATGAAAACTGAAAAGGAGCCTTGTCCTTTCTTGTCTAAATGGCAGATACACTTGTGATAGGCTTGTTTGTTTACTGTGTTCCTGCTCTTCCTACATTCTATTCAACTCTCTTTTCTGGCCTGCGTTATGGCTTGATTGTGAAACCTTGCTGTTCCTTTGATTTCTATGCATCTGAGTCTCTATTGTCCTTGTCCTCACCACTGGAACAGATCAAGGTCTCTCTGTTCTGTCCCTCAAAAGGTTTAACATAACCTTTATATGAGAGACAGAACAGCAGTTTGGCTGGCCATCTTCAGTGCAGACACTGAAGAGATGTCCTAGCTCTGCTTTGTGTCTCAATGCATTGCTGAAGCAGTTGTGCCTTTATTATTTGCAATGCTTTGTTTCATACTACATGATTTCTGTCGCATATCATGTTTCTCTCTTGACAGGCTCACTGATTTTATTGATAAAGATTGATTATGTGCCATTTCTATTTTTCAGTTATTACATTTTCTTCAGATTTTCTTCATGTATTTAATATTGTTGGTATTATTTACATATTAATTAATAGGGACTATTGTGGCACATTTGTCCACTGTTTGCAAAAGTATTTCTCTCTGTTGATGATTTTGGAATGAGCTTTAAAGCATGCTATTGCTAATTTGGGGTACATTCATTGAGTTCTATTGGTTTTTGGGTTAGGAAATGCTAACGTTAGCAGTTTGGGAGAGTACCTACCTGGCGTATTTGGCACTGGAGGACTCCCCGGCGACAGGCTTGCGGAAGGTGATCTTGAAGTTCCCCAGCTCCTCTGAGAACCCAGTGATGGAACCCAGACGGTTTCTCTCTTCCACGTGGGCCTCCAGGGAACCCTGGGTGTCGGCAGCAGCGTAGAACATCAGGGAGATGACCGGCGCGTGGGGAGCCGAACTCTGGGGGAAGGAAGAACTGGGTCATATTCAGTAGGAAGGAGAAAACGTTTTGAAATGTTCTATAATATTCCACTGCATCTTAGTCCATGCCGCTCTGTCATTGCTCGTCCATATATGTATATATTCTTAATTCCATTCCTTACTTAGATTTGTGTGTATTGGGTATATGTTGTGAAATTGTTAGATATTACTTGTTAGATATTACTGCACTGTCAGAGCTAGAAGCACAAGCATTTCGCTACACCCGCAATAACATCTGCTAAACACGTGTATGTGACAAAAAAAACTCTGTGGAAGAACACCAGGGTTGTGTTCAGTAGCATTCTAATTTGTCATTTATTTATTTTTATACCAGGAGACAATAAGAATAGTTTCAAAACTCAAATGTCTTTCAATGTAAGACAAATAATTGGAACAAAATATGCCTGGTTAATTCCCAGGTGGGTATAAAGGTGTGTGTATGTATCCCGCCACACTCACATGCTGCTTGGCTGTGATCCTCCAGGTCCAGTCCCCTCCGTGTTCACCGCCCATCCGCTTGACAAACTCCGTGGTGAGGGTAAAGTCGCTGTCGTGGATCTCCTGCACACCGAAGCTGAGGCCGTCATGCATCAGCCAGCCGTAGCCCTGCAGCCGGTCACCCTGCTCGCACGTGTGCCTGAGGTTCACGTCCACCTCAGAGAACTGACGCATCCACATCATCCCTGGGATGTAGAGAAATGGAAACACAGAATTAATTCATTTATTTTATTTAATAATTCCCCAAAATATTAAATGTTAAACATGTACATGGATTATGTACACTACCTTTCAAAAGTTTGGGGTCACTTAGAAATGTCCTTGTTTTCGAAAGAAAAGCAATCTTTTTCCATTAAAATAACATCAAATTGATCAGAAATACAGTGGTAGACATTGTTAATGTTGTAAATGGCTATTGTAGCTGGAAAAGGCTGATTTTTAATGGAATATCTACATAGTCGTACAGAGGCCCATTATCAGCAACCATCAGCCTGTGTTCCAATGGCACGTTGTGTTTGCTAATCCAAGTTTATCATTTTAAAAAAGACTAATTGATCATTAGAAAACCCTTTTGCAATTATGTTAATATAGCTGAAAACTGTTGTGCTGATTAAAGAAGCAATAAAACTGGCCTTCTTGAGACTAGTTGAGTATCTGGAGCATCAGCAATTGTGGGTTCGATTACGGGCTCAAAATGGCCAGAAACAAATAACTTTGTTCTGAAACTCGTCAGTCTATTCTTGTTCTGAGAAATGAAGGCTATTCCATGTGAGAAATTGCCAAGAAACTGAAGATCTCGTACAACGCTGTGTACTACTCCCTTCACAGAACAGCGCAAACTGGCTCTAACTAGAATAGAAAGAGGACTGGGAGACCCAGGTGCACAACTGAGTAAGAGGACAAATACATTAGAGTGTCTAGTTTGAGAAACAGACGCCTCACAGGTCCTCAACTGGCAGCTTCATTAAATAGTACCCGCAAAACACCTGTCTCAACGTCAACAGTGTAGAGGCGACTCCGGGATGCTGACCTTCTAGGCAGAGTTGCAAAGAAAAAGCCATATCTCAGACTGGCCAATAAAAATTAAAGATTAATATGGGCAAAAGAACACTGACACTGGACCGAGGAAGATTGGAAAAAAGTGTTATGGACAGACAAATCAAAGTTTGAGGTGTTCGGATCACAAAGAAGAACATTTGTGAGACGCAGACCAAATGAAAAGATGCTGGAGGAGTGCTTGATGCCATCTGTCAAGCATGGTGGAGGCAATGTGATGGTCTGGGGGTGCTTTGGTGGTGGTAAAGTGGGAGATTTGTACAGGGTTAAAGGGATCTTCAAGAAGGAAGGCTATCACTCCATTTTGCAACGCCATGCATACCCTGTGGACGGCGCTTGATTGGAGCCAATTTCCTCCTACAGCAGGACAATGACACAAAGCACAGCTCCAAACTATGCAATAACTATTTAGGGAAGAAGCAGTCAGCTGGTATTTTGTCTATAATGGAGTGGCCAGCACAGTCACCTGATCTCAACCCTATTGAGCTGTTGTGGGAGCAGCTTGACCGTATGGTACGTAAGAAGTGCCCATCAAGCCAATCCAACTTGTGGGAGGTGCTTCAGGAAGCATGGGGTGAAATCTCTTCAGATTACCTCAACAAATTGACAACTATAATGCCAAAGGTCTTCAAGGCTGTAATTGCTGCAAATAGAGGATTCTTTGACGAAAGCAAAGTTTGAAGGACACAATTATTATTTCAATTAAAAATCATTATTTCTAACCTTGTCAATGACTACATTTCCTATGCATTTTGTTATATTTCATATTCAAACTCATTTCATGTATGTTTTAATTGAAAACAAGGACATTTCTAAGTGACCCCAAACTTTTGAACAGTAGTGTATATAATCCAGGGTTTCCGTTTGAAAATGTGGCGCTGGACATTTAATTTACAGGACATTTAGAAATTTACCGGATCCATATGCATTGGGTGTGTAACCTGATTAGAGCGTCCACCCACGGTGCTCAGAATGAAAGAAATCACATTTACTTTATGGTAATTCATTTTAACAAAACATGCAATTCGAGGATGCAATGGCGTGTGTCCTTCCTACCGAATTCTGATGAGCAATTTGAAGAATAACTGTCCACATTTACTTTTCCTCAGCCAACAAAACGAGTAACGAACAGCAAAATCACTAGCCTATGTCAATCTACTTTCCCCCATAGTAGAAAAGTTGACCTATTCTATTGGTCAGCTTGTCAATCTGTGCGAGAAAGAAATAGACTATTCCAAACAGACAGGGACAGTTGTGAGACGATAGATCCCAAATTCATACAACCAGTAGAAGCAAGGTAAGACATGCCCCATAATATGCAGTAAAATGTTAAGGTTTCAAACAATTAAGCATATGTTTTAAAAATGCATACTGCTTCCAGCTCATTGCAAAGTGGTGTGTGACGAGCTAACGCATGCCTAGTTGTCTATGCGCTTGAATGGCGAATGGGAAGCTCGCTTCAATTACCAGTTGAGAAATAAAAATATAGGGTTAGTCTTTCCACAAGGAGGTCATATCTCCATGTTACAGCGTGTGTTTACGGAAGACAAGATGGAAGACAGAGGGACCACATGTGCTAACTAGCTATTTAGCATGCTCCAAACACCTGTGTGTAACGGAAGAAGGCCGCCAGAAACGTATTGTCACTGAAAGATACTGTCAGCTGCAACTGTGATAAGGCTGGATAAAACAGTGTACAGTAGGTGTATATCTTGCAGTTGTAAAATGATTTTGATGTGACATGAAAGTAAAGGGCTTTATGCTTCTAAAAAACCATATCGCAGAATCGATTCATGTTTAGATAAGAGTATTTGGCAGTTTTTGCTGCCAGAGCCAGTCTACCTCTGAAAATAACATAAGATCCTTGGACTTTAAGGATTAACAGTAGGCTCTTTAAGAGGTAGGCTCCTAACAGAAACCCTGATATAATCCACATATAATATGAGGAAACACAATAAATTACACAATTTATTTCCATTGTGTTCCTCTGGTGAGTAGCTAACAGGTTACACAAGCCTACCAGACGAGCTAAACCACTTCTATGCTCGCTTCGAGGCAAGCAACACTGAAGCATGCATGAGAGCACCAGCTGTTCCGGATGACTATGTGATCACGCTCTCCGTAGCCGATGTGAGTAAGACTTTTAAGCAGGTCAACATTCACAAGGCCGCAGGGCCAGACGGATTACCAGGACGTGTACTCCGAGCATGTGCTGACCAACTGGCAAGTGTCTTCACTGACATTTTCAACATGTCCCTGACTGAGTCTGTAATACCAACATGTTTCAAGCAGACCACCATAGTCCCCGTGCCCAAGAACTCTAAGATAACCTGCCTAAATGACTACCGACCCGTAGCACTGACGTCTGTAGCCATGAAGTGCTTTGAAAGACTGGTCATGGCTCACATCAACAGCATAATCCCAGAAACCCTAGATCCACTCCAATTTGCATACCGCCCCAACAGATCCACAGATGATGCAATCTCTATCGCACTCCACACTGCCCTTTCCCACCTGGACAAGAGGAACACCTACGTGAGAATGCTATTCATTGACTACAGCTCTGCATTCAACACCATAGTGCCCTCTAAGCTCATCACTAAGCTAAGGATCCTGGGACTAAACACCTCCCTCTGCAACTGGATCCTGGACTTCCTGACGGGCCGCCCCCAGGTGGTAAGGGTAGGTAACAACACATCTGCCACACTGATCCTCAACACGGGGGCCCCTCAGGGGTGCGTGCTCAGTCCCCTCCTGTACTCTCTGTTCACCCATGACTGCACGGCCCGGCACGACTCCAACACCATCATTAAGTTTGCCGACGACACAACAGTGGTAGGCCTGATCACCGACAACGATGAGACAGCCTATAGGGAGGAGGTCAGAGATCTGGCCGTGTGGTGCCAGGACAACAACCTCTCCCTCAACGTGACCAAGACAAAGGAGATGATTGTGGACTACAGGAAAAAAAAGAGGACTGAGCACGCCCCCATTCTCATTGACGGGGCTGTAGTGGAACAGGTTGAGAGCTTCAAGTTCCTTGGTGTCCACATCACCAACGAACTATCATGGTCCAAACACACCAAGACAGTCGTGAAGAGGGCACGACAAAGCCTATTCCCCCTCAGGAGACTAAAAAGATTTGGCATGGGTCCTCAGATCCTCAAAAAATTATACAGCTGCACCATCGAGAGCATCCTGACTGGTTGCATCACCGCCTGGTATGGCAACTGCTTGGCCTCTGACCGCAAGGCACTACAGAGGGTAGTGCGTACGGCCCAGTACATCACTGGGGCAAAGCTTCCTGCCATCCAGGACCTCTATACCAGGCGGTGTCAGAGGAAGGCCCTCAAAATTGTCAAAGACTCCAGCCACCCTAGTCATAGACTGTTCTCTCTGCTACCGCACGGCAAGCGGTACCGGAGTGCCAAGTCTAGGTCCAAAAGACTTCTCAACAGCTTCTACCCCCAAGCCATAAGACTCCTGAACAGCTAATCATGGCTACCCGGACTATTTGCACTGCCCCCCCACCCCATCCTTTTTACGCTGCTGCTACTCTGTTAAGTATTTATGCATAGTCACTTTAACTCTACCCACATGTACATATTACCTCAACTACCTCAACTAGCCGGTGCCCCCGCACATTGACTCTGCAACGGTACCCCCCTGTATATATAGCCTCCCTACTGTCACTTTATTTTACTTCTGCTCTTTTTTTTTCTCAACACTTTTTTTTGTTGTTGTTTTATTCTTACTTTTTTTGTTTAAAATAAATGCACTGTTGGTTAAGGGCTGTAAGTAAGCATTTCACTGTAATGTCTGCACCTGTTGTATTCGGCGCATGTGACCAATAAAATTTGATTTGATTTGATTTGAGTACCGCTTGCCACATAGCACACACAGTTGTTATTGCCAACTGACACTTTAGTCAATAGTATTAGCAAATATTTAAGGGTGAATGTAGAGAAATTATAGTCTTGTACCTGTGACAACAGATCTGGGGCTCCTGGTTTTCATCCCAAAGTAGACCTGGGGTCGGTAGGAGCCCCAAAACCTCTCAGGGGACACCTCAGCGCTTGTGCTGTTGGCATCGAGGACGGGCGGCGAGTGGTGCAGAGTTACCACCCGTTTGGCCAGCGAGGAACGCATGTACAGGGCATAGAAGAACCAGATAAGGCTGAAGATGCAGAGACCGATGGAGATGTTGATGAAGATTTTGCCGATGTCAAGCTTCTTTTTCTTTTCCTTGCGTTGTAGGGTGGCAGGCTTCTCGTCTTTCCTTGTGGGAGGGGGGTCAGCCTCGCCAGTCACCACTCTCTTCCTCTGCCTGCCCATCCTTCCAGCTGAGGAGGAAGAGAAGGATACTGTGGGTGAATCTCAAATGTCTCTCCAATTTCTCACATCCTTCTCAACATAGAGGGAAGCGAGGAGAGGACGCGAGGAAAGGAATGCGCTCCACATTTTTAGGTAATATGAACATGCCTACACTATTTTCAGAGATGTGTATGAGTTCTACCCAGTATGTTATCATATTTGGTTACCAAAAACAGAACGGCATGCCAGTGCTCTTAGTTTATAGAATAACAGGGACAAAGTCATTACCGTATAAACATTAGCCTAGACCAGGGATGGGCAACTGGCGGCCCTTCTTTTGAAGGACCGTGGACCAATGCTATCAATATTTTTATTTCATTTTATTTCATGAGGGCGGCCGCTAAAATGTTTTGCTCACGGCGGGGGAGGGGGATGGATGTGGGTACACAGACCCACGAGCGACTGCGGCCTCTCATGATTAATTCCGTTTTTTTGTGGGCCCCACCCCCATCAAAGTTGTCCATCACTGTCCTAGACCTTAGCTGCCTTTAGCAACGCTATCATTTACACACTAGCGCTGCTTGCAAAACACTGAATAGTCCGCAGGAATTTAATTTCAACTTACTCTGCCAATTGTCCGTAGGGTTGGTCCTTACGCAGGGGGGAAATTGAGAAAAAAACATAATAGAACATAAATTAAACAGACTTTCCAAACATAGGTCTGTTGTAGACCCACTTCCTCTCCGACTGCACATGACAATACCTGAACAAAAAAAGTTGTAGGGGACTTTTATTTTGACATGAGGGAAGCAGAGAGGAACTGACCTCACTGTTGGCTGGCTACCCAAACTCCTCACTCCGGCAAAACGATACACCCACGGACGTTAAGGCGTCCGCATGCTTCACATCCGAAACAGTACATACCGTGCCTTAAGTATTCACATCCCTTGACTTTTTCCACATTTTCTTGTGTTACAGCCTGAATTTAAAATTGATTAAATTGAGATGTTTGTCACTGGTTTACACACAATACCCCAAAATGTCAAAGTGGAATTCTTTTTTTGGACATTTTTACAAATTATTAAAATGTAAAAGCTGAAAGGTCTTGAGTCAATAAGTATTAAACCCATTTGTTATGGCAAGCCTAAATACGTTCAGTAAAAAAAAGTGCTTAACAAGTCACGTAACAAGTTGCATGGACTCACTTTGTGTACAATAATGGTGTTTAACATGATTTTTGAATGACTAACTCATCTCTGTACCCCACACATACAAGTATCTGTAAGGTCCCTCAGTCGAGCAGTGAATTTTAGACACAGATTCAACCACAAAGACCATGGAGGTTTTCCAATGCCTCACAAAGAAGGGCACCTATTGGTAGATGGGTCAAAATAAAAAAAGCAGACATTGAATATCCCTTTGAGCATGGTGAAGTTATGAATTACACTTTGGATGGTGTATCAATAAACCCAGTCACTAAAAAGATACAGGCGTCCTTCCTAACTTAGTTGCATGAGAGGAACGCAACCGCTTAGGGATTTCGCCATGAGGCCAATGGTGACTTTAAAACAGCTACAGAGTTGAATGGCTGTGATAGGAGAAAACTGAGGATGGATCATCAACATTGCAGTTACCTAATTGACATAGTGAAAAGAAGGAAGCCTGTACAGAATAAAAAATATTCCAAAACATGCATCCTGTTTGCAACAAGGCACTGAATTAATACTGCAAAAATTGTGGCAAAGCAATTCACTTTTTGTCTTGTTAGGGGCAATTCCAATACAACACATTACTGAGTACCCACCTCATATTTTCAAGCATAGTGGTGGCTGCATAATGTTATGGGTATGATTGTCATCGTTAAGGACTGGGGAGTTTTTCAGGATAAAAAAAGAAACGGAATGGAGCTAAGCACAGGGAAAAACCTGGTTCAGTCTGCTTTCCACCAGACACTGGGAGATTAATTCACCTTTCAGCAGGACAATAACCTAAAACAAGGCCAAATCTACACTAGAGTTGCTTACCAAGAAGACAGTTCCTGAGTGGCAGAGTTAAATTTTTGACTTAAATCTACTTGAAAATATATGGCAAGACCTGAAAATGGTTGTCTACCAAGGATCAACAACCAATTTGACAAAGCTTGAAGAATTTTGAAAATAATAATATTTTTTTATAACATTTCTATACCGCTTTTCATAGAATTTCAAAGTGCTTCAAGTGGAAAAAACAAACAAGCAATATATCATGACAGGTCAACCAATAGAGGCCAAGTCTTTGGAAGCTGCATCCTCCGAAGATGGAGAGGTTAATGGCTTGAGCAGAGGGAGCTGATCAAAGAATGGTAGATGATGGTGATGGAGTCTGCTGATGATTGAGTCTTATAGCCACTGGACTTTTCCTCTTCCACTCTGTGTAGCACCCACTTGGGTGATGCCTCAGCAGCTCTGGGCGCCAGAAAGCTCACCACACAAAGTTCAGAATAGTAGCCAGTCGCCCTCACTATGAGCCCTCTGCCTCAGCACTGTTGTATACCTGTAGCTCCCATTCCTCTCACGCTTCAGGACACTCCTCAAATTATGTTCTTAGAAGATCAGAAATTGGCAGCCAGGTGAAACAAAAATGCAAAATCATGAGCAAATGTTGTACAATCCAGGTGTGAAAAGCTCTTAAGACACTTACCCAGAAAGACTCACAGCTGTAATCACTGCCAAAGGTGTTTCTACAAAGTATTGACTTAGGGGTGTGAATCCTTATGTAAATTAGATATTTCTGTATTTCATTTTCAATAAATTAACAAAAGTCTAAAATATGTTTTCACTTTGTCATTATGGGGTTTTGTGTGTAGATGGGTGAGAAAAACAATCTATTTAATCAATTTTGAATTCAGGCTGTAACACAACAAAATGTGGAATAAGTCAAGGGGTATGAATACTTTCTCAAGGCACTGTATATTATGACAACATTGTGACGTTTTTTCGGCTGTTCGTGCACATTACATTTTTTCTCGAGGCAAGCCAAATTTCGGTAGCCAAAGTCTAGAGATTCTTCAATGAAGTGTTCGCTGTCATTCAACAATGGACGACTCGTTTTCATGCATTTTTTTACTTGAGAAATACTGCACCAAACATCCTAGTTAGATGTCAAATTAAATTCTTAATTATCTTTGATTAATTGTGACTTTTCTATACTGGCTATGGCGTCTCAGTACTATTGCCACTTTTCCCCTTGTTTTTCAAGTTAAGGTATTTAAAGAGAGTATGCGAGCACACTCGTTCGGAAACTCGTCTAGGTGCCAGCCAAACCAAAGCATGCGGAAGACTTTAGTTTCTTCTCAGCAATGAGTCTGAAACTGAGTACCTCCCCAACGATTTCTAGAACGCAAACACATTCTCACCGTTCTGATTGGTCCCAGAAACCAATGGGTTGGGCCAGGGCCACATGTGGGTAAAGCAGCGTTTAGAAATTCTTCATTGTCTTTGATACTCCAATTGCTGATTACTTGTTTTGTACAACACCCCTCATTTTCACTTCACCAAAAATGACTGAAGTATGCAGCAAACAGAACAATTCAGTTTGAGTTGTCAGGCAAATCTGGCTGAGGAACTACATGGGTCTACAACAGACCTATGTTTGGGAATTCTGTTTATTTATACATGCCATTAGATGTATTTTTTCTTCTTCTGGAATTCCGCCTGCATAAGGACAACGCCTACAGTCAATCAGAGTAAGTTGAAATGTAATTTTATTTAACCTCTGGCTTCCGGCGGACCAGTTGTTTTGAAAGCTAATTGCCAACAACGCTAGTGTGTAAATACTAGCGTTGCTAAAAGCAGTTAGTTACCTAGACCTCATCTTCAGATTTTAGCCTGGATAATTATGATGCACCTGGCACTGTCAGGTGGCAACAACATTGCTTGCAACTACAGTACTAGCTAGTAGTAGTTTGCTACCTAGCTAGCTAAGTTAATGTAACGTTGGCTCGTCGACTATGAAAATAATTACTTAACGTTACCTGCAAAGTTGCATAAAGAAATACCTTTAAACTATTACAACGTATTTAATTTTTTAGAAACTGCGCTAGGCAAAGCATACATTCAAGCTTTTCGGCTAAAGCTAACTGGTTAATGAATGGTTAGCAAACCGGTGGCTGTCACTATCGGGCAGACCTGTTTTAGCACGAGTTTGCAGAATTTTTAAACAAGCTTTCATGCCAATAATGCAGCACATAACAATGCACCGAGGAATGTAATATATATCCTGTAATATGGTTAGTAAATGTAAAACTCACCTTTCAAATGGACAGAATATCAGCTGCACATAATTCGCGTTACTTCCTGGTTCCCTCCCGCTGGTGAAACACTGACGTGTACATAGCGTTGACAGCCCACGCCAGGGGTATATTCATTACGCCGATTCTGTTGCAAAACGTTTCTTAAACGGAAGAAAACGGGGAAGGACCTACCTGAATCAGTCCAACGGAAACTCGTTTGTTGCACTACGTAATGTTGCAACTCTTTGACTAATGATTACATCCCAGCTCGAGAGTTGTCTGGCCATAGGTCACAACGTTCAATCCATACACACCATTCTGTTCTGTAAGGAATAGGCTAGAAAATATGCTTTGGACTACAGTCAACTACTAATGCAATGGTTCAGGACTATGATATTTGGGACTATGCCATCCTAAATGTGTTCACTAAACCAGAACATGCAGATATTCATAAGTCCAAATTCATGTATTCGAATTGGGACAGGTTGTGCAATGCATTTCAGTGTTGATCATTGTTTATCATTCCATCCTATAAATGCTCGACCCATACTGGATAGCAATTGATGATTGTCATATGCCTAGCAATAGCATGTAACGTGTAATAGGAACTGCTTATGCAAAAATATCCCCAAAGAATATTACACTGAAGAGCAATATGGAATTGTATTGAAATTATTGTAAAATGAACTGCATGAGGGAGTTGGAAACAGTTAAACTTTTTTAAGTGTTTCATAGTTATACACAGTAATACAAAGATGGCTCTGTGGGGCTTATGTATAAAAACCACGGTTTTCTTGTTGTGATGTAGTCACATAAGAGCTGGACACAATGCATTCAACTGTGAATATGATTTTGAGATCCTTATCAAACTGTAGTTGAGGTGTGATTGTATATGTAACAGAACTGTAAGGATTCTCCTAAATGTATCAGCTATGAACGTTTCAAAATATAAACGCTGTAAAATAAGTGATATGTATGGAGAATTGCAATCAGGAATGTGTGGTTCAGAGCTGATGACTAAGAGTAAACGCTGACGTCAGGCGCCTCCTCTGAGCCCTAGGGGGCGATGACCACTCACTTCTAGCTCATTCTTAAAGCCATTCCCAAACCAGTTTATGTAAACAAATGGGGGTGATGACACTGACAAACTCACTAGTTTTGTAACGATTTTTTTAATCAATGAAAAGCTGTATTGTTTTCCCCATCCAGAACCCTCACGTTACAATTCGGAGCTTATTACTTTACATATTGGTCAACAAAGGCAGGAAAAATACATTGCATTCTCATACGAGACCCTAGATCAGCGATAAGACTTCTGTTTCCTTCGCACTCTCCGAGGGCCAGACCTGGGTTCAAATGTATTTTTCTTTCAAATACTTATTGAGCATTTGATGTAGCCTGCCTGGAGTGCCTGAAAGGCAGGGAGACTAATTAATTGGTTCCATTGCGCCAGACAAGTCTAATCAAGCACAATTAAAAATATTTGATGTCCAGATTCTACAGGTTCCACTGGATGACATGTAACAGTGGGAGTTCGTAAATGAAACATCACAATACGAACACAACAAAAGCCTGCAGGGTGTTCCAGTTTGTCTGTCAACAGCTCAGCGAATGGAAGAGGGGTTCTAGAGATCCTGAGTATTTGCACTGTATATTTAGAGACGCTCTCCCCCCCGCCCCTCATTCTGACACTCAATTACAGTGTACTAGAAGGGAGAGGCCTTCCACTAAGGGGAAGAAGGAAGGCCCTGATCTGGGCTCTAGTTATAAAGCTGACAGGCTTTTGTGAGTGACTGCTGCTGTGCTTATTACAGTTTAACAACCCTGCCTAGGAACAGTAGCACCCCTGCCTGTGGAGTGGACAGATAATCCAACTGATACAGCAAAATCACCAACAAAAAGAAAAATAAAGAACCATATAACTTTGTCTTTGTGTAATTACAGAAAGCTTTGGCCAAAAATGTCATTCCAAAGAGCGATTCGGTTCATAAGAGCTTGCGATGCAGTATGCTGATGACAAGTTCTTTTTTTGACAAGTGTTTTGTATTTTTTGTTAATGAGCGTTATACATGCAAAGCAAAAATAAAATTAGAGAAAAACAGTCACCGGTGTAGCAAAATTGTTAAGCCAAAATAACCCGTGCCCAGCACAAGACAATACATAATCCCCTTTCCACTTCCCGTTGACCCTTAACCCCATCTTAAGTGACTCCATTTGACCCCCCTTTCTCCAGGGCCTCGACTCAGACAAGACTGAAAAGAATGATCACCAACCCCAGATTTTTTTTAAAACGTTCTTACAAAAATTACAGGGGAAAAAACTAGTTAAAAAAACAAACAAAAAAAAGATTGCCCGGGCCTGTCTCTTCAGTCCTCCTTCACCTGATGTCAGCATCAGTGTGTGGCTGTGGGTGAGTGAGTGGGGGGTGAAAGGGGCGGAGATAAAGCAGGGGAGTCTGACCGCGAGCCTGCCCAGCCTCAGACCTGCGGCTCGAGGGGCCGCCGAGCACCCCCCCTCCTCCGCACTAGATCTTGATCAAGCCCCCGTCTCCCTCACTCACAAACCGCTTCCGCCCCCTGGTGGACACAGACAGAACAGGCGATTCAATACTTTATAGGCTACCAATGAGTTTAGAGGAGAGGAGTCCTCAGCCTTACAATATAAAACACTTGGGGCCTAGTTAAGCTTTACATAAAGTCATTAATATACTAATTGAGTGGGTTTACATGTACACTAACTTGATATTACTCAGACTATGGCATTATTAATGTAAACACTTATCTTAATCGAAGTAAGGTCATTAAGTATGCATACTCCGATTAGTCTAGTATTATCAAAAATATCATTACTTGACTATACAGCCCCTCCAGGATTTGGCAGAGATTTTAGTGATATTTGCAGGCAAAAATGCTTAATTTTGATGCAGCAATTCTGACCTTTTGCATGACAATATGCAATGATTTTGTCCAATTTGTTGCGAAAATGCGCTGAAGTGGGAAAAGGTTTGTTGACATGTGGCTTGATTTAAATCATATTATGCAGTAAATGTGCGGTGATTGGTTGAAATCGTGAGCCCTCTTTTTGTAGTGCGGTGATGAGTCACAATGTTTTTAGTTTTATGCAGAAATAGTGCAGTGATTGGTCAAATTTGCAAGCCCTCGCATAATTTGCAGGCAATTCTTGATTTTGCTAAAATAAATGTGATCGCAGAATCCTGGAGGGACTGACTATACCCAATAGACAAAATGAAAGAGTTTGCACCACTCAACACTGGGACTGACCTGGAGGGACAGGAGTCTCTCAACTGTTTGGTGATAACAGACTCCTGGTAGCAGAGGTCCGTAAAGGACTCCATGATTGAGTGGGCATGGGGTACATCCAGGTTAATCTCTGGCAGCTCGTCGTACACACGCTGGAAGCCCTGGATGTTACAACAATACTTGATGAGTAAGTAAATCATACAGTCAAAGAATACTTTCCATCATAGGACAATATAAGAGAAGATGAATCAATTCAGTCACTTCAGAGCTTGTCAGGTAACAAATGAATATGCATTGACAGTGACTAGAGAGAATATAACAACATATACACTGTAGCTAGAGAGAATATGGCAGAATACTGTAGCTATATCAGCAACAGTAAATATGCCTTGACTGAGTAGCTACGGATGTCTACAGATGGGTTTGAATCCACAAGGTCTGACGTTGACAATTACTACTAGTTTAACATTTTAGATTCATGCCATCTTAATTGTAGTGCTGAAAAATGAAAACCTGCAGTCATATCACTGGAAATAGTTTTTAGAAGTTGAAGTGCTTTTTTTTGTGCTAGTGCTACCAGTGAATTTGGTGCTACTTTCTGGTGCGTACAGGGACGTACCCGGTTCATCTGGTCCACTGTGATGAGGCCAATCTTCCAGAAGGCCTGGAGGAGCTTACACATCATCTTGATGGCCGTGTCCCCCTTAGACTCCAGCACCATGACAACAGCCTGGTGACCAGCCAGGAGAAAAGGAGAAGAAAATGCATTAGACTTTATGCTAATGTCTATGTATGTACAAAATGATTGTAAAATTGACTGTGTCCCAAATAGCACCCTATTCCCTATATAGTGCACTACCTTTGCCCAGCGCACTATAAAGGGAATAGGGTGCCATTTGGGACACCGGTTATGTCATGCACACAGTGCCTTAAATTCTCCGTTATGTGGAATGTCAGCTTGACCAAGATGAGACTGAATAATTATTTGACACTAAAAGGCGCTGGTCAACTTGTTCTTTTCAAACTAGTAAAATGTTTTCAGAAAGGTTTCAATCCCCTATTTAACCACATTGGGGCAGCATTACTTTAATTCTCACCATGGTGCATGGATTTGGCATTATTTTATTTTTGAGTAACTGATTACATTAGCATTTAATTGGTATCTAGGATACTGTTGCTGGTGGAATAATGTTAGGTAATGGTTTGCAAGATAACATATGTCAGACAAAAAACAATAAATCAAACTTTCTTTACAGCATCATGGAACATAGATGCATTTTTAAGATAACATATGTCATAAACCTATAGTCTTATAAATACTGAAAAGGGAAGTAAGATTACACCACACATCATATTCAACATTGCACGCATAGACAACTAGCTACATAACTATTGAAAGTACAGTAGAGCCATCACTGATCCGCTATCAATAAATAATGTAAGTCGCTCTGGATAAGAGCGTCTGCTAAATGACGTAAATGTAAATGTAAATATCCTTGTGCTGACAGCAAAGGCCATGTTCAGTATATATATTTTCTAAAAATAATTAAAAAGGAAGATCCTCCATGTAGTTGTCCAATAACATTTTCGCTTTCTGTTGCAAAATACTTTTGATACAGTGTGCCCTTCTAAACAGGACCCAAAGCGCTTTTAGTAGTGTTTACCTCATAGACAAGCTCGTGGTGGAAGTGAGGTACTTCTAGGTCCCGCAGACAGCGTTCTGCCTCCTTCACCTCTCCCGATACCAAGTACTCCTTCAGCAGCAAGTTCATCTGAAACACATATCAATAAAGTATGAATCAATCAAATCTATCATTCACTCCATCATTCACCACCCATGGCTAAAACACTGCCCAATACAGATTTGACAGACAAGGTTTCGAACATGGTTCTCAAGACTTATCCCACTGAGCTAAAGCCTAGGTCCAATAGATAAAATATGCATCTTATCTATAGTTTCAGACATTTCTCAGCAGTGACTACCGGGCCTTGTTTATTTGATAGTGCAAGGTTTTTCCCTGTCAATACAGGAAGTCAAGAATCGGGGAGAGGACTCCAAAAGCGATCACTGGCTGGACAAATGGAGCAAAGTCAAATCACAATGCTCAATGACCAAACAATGTCTGTTTTTATGTGTAGTACTCATGTTCCTGTTCAGTTATGAACCTTGTGTGCAACTGCAATTCCACAAAAGCTTGGTGCTTTGCGGACTAGGGCTGACCCCATTTAGTCGACTGGTCGATAGGCTGTTGGTCGACCGAGATTTCTTTAGTCGAGCATATAGCAAAAAAAAATTATACATTAATGGCGTACAAGACACCTGTCTGAGTGGACTAATCCATTGTGGAGGCAGTGAGGATGGCACAGTCCATCACTAAGACATGTGCTACTGAAATTGTATATAGTTATATTACATAAGAACAACAGTGCAACACCAAAAAATATTTTATAACAAATGTGCTTTCACCCTCGTTGGATAATGGCCACTGTCCGTGGTTCTGAAACAGTGCGCTGTTGAATTGGCGCCTTTTTTCCTAGACCATGTTGCTATGTGCATAATAGCAATGTTACCCAGCATATTGGTGTTGAGAATAAAGCGGCGGAGGCAGCAGTGGAGTTAGGAGATGAGAAAACAGCCCTTGCCTCAATTGTCTGAGAATAGTGAGGAGAGGGGAAACCAACTTAATTAGGTCTATAAATCAACAGCCTAACTGTTAAATGTGCTTGGCTTTATAAATCATCCATATAGATCTACAGAAATAAGACAGATCCTGCTTGTGTGTTTGTTTAATAGCCTACTGATTCCGTGAACACCAAGCCTCAAGCAACCACAACGTCTGATAAACAATTTTACACATTCGGCTGCTTTTAAATCTTTGCTATGCTGTAATAAAGACTTTACACTTTATTTTTCCGTTAGAACAGCCTCTGGTATTACTTATTTAGTGTTTACACTGTTCCAAATTGTCAGTAAAATAATATTAATCATAATAATAACCCTTTTTCTTGATCTCCTTATTTTATTACCATTATTAATATGATCATTATAATAATAAGTAATGTCATTATCATTAGTAGGCTTTGTATAGCAGCCTTGTATAACCACCATTGAGCTGTAGGCCTAAGAGCGCATCCTGTTTAGACTTAATACCGAAACTTAGGCTATTCTTTTATCCTTAAAGCCTACTGTATCAAACAATAATTTGTTCATGTCATCACACAGCATACAAAAGTCATTCATGATTTGAAATGCAATCAAGCATTGGGTTTAAAATAAAGTGGCCCTTGAATAATTAGCATAAACAATAAATAAACCGTTCCATGTCGGCAATTGCATTCACAAATGCATGCAACTGCTTTTAGTCTTTGATGTAATAAAGGCTTCAGCAACACTGACAGCGCGATAAACACTGTTGATGTTTTGTTGTGCTCGCTGCAGCAGGGAGGCGAGAGAGACAACGGGTCACAGTTACTCGCGGTCATTATTTTTTTTGGAGCCCGGCCCGGCACAAATCAATTGCGGTCTGACTCACTCTAGTCATCTGTGTGTTATTTCATCAAACAGTGCACTTAAAGCATCAGACAAGCTCAGTGCATATAGTTGATTTGATTAAAAAACACAGGATATATATAGATTAATTTGCATTTTATTGCATGACATAAGTATTTGATACATCAGAAAAGCAGAACTTAATATTTGGTACAGAAACCTTTGTTTGCAATTACAGAGATCATACGTTTCCTGTAGGTCTTGACCAGGTTTGCACACACTGCAGCAGGGATTTTGGCCCACTCCTCCATATAGACCTTCTCCAGATCCTTCAGGTTTCGGGGCTGTCGCTGGGCAATACGGACTTTCAGCTCCCTCCAAAGATTTTCTATTGGGTTCAGGTCTGGAGACTGGCTAGGCCACTCCAGGACCTTGAGATGCTTCTTACGGAGCCACTCCTTAGTTGCCCTGGCTGTGTGTTTCGGGTCGTTGTCATGCTGGAAGACCCAGCCACGACCCATCTTCAATGCTCTTACTGAGGGAAGGAGGTTGTTGGCCAAGATCTCGTGATACATGGCCCCATCCATCCTCCCCTCAATACGGTGCAGTCGTCCTGTCCCCTTTGCAGAAAAGCATCCGCAAAGAATGATGTTTCCATCTCCATGCTTCACGGTTGGGATGGTGTTCTTGGGGTTGTACTCATCCTCCTTCTTCCTCCAAACACGGCGAGTGGAGTTTAGACCAAAAAGCTCTATTTTTGTCTCATCAGACCACATGACCATCTCCCATTCCTCCTCTGGATCATCCAGATGGTCATTGGCAAACTTCAGATGGGCCTGGACATGCGCTGGCTTGAGCAGGGGGACCTTGCGTGCGCTGCAGGATTTTAATCCATGACGGCGTAGTGTGTTACTAATGGTTTTCTTTGAGACTGTGGTCCCAGCTCTCTTCAGGTCATTGACCAGGTCCTGCCGTGTAGTTCTGGGCTGATCCCTCACCTTCCTCATGATCATTGATGCCCCACGAGGTGAGATCTTGCATGGAGCCCCAGACCGAGGGTGATTGACCGTCATCTTGAACTTCTTCCATTTTCTAATAATTGCGCCAACAGTTGTTGCCTTCTCACCAAGCTGCTTGCCTATAGTCCTGTAGCCCATCCCAGCCTTGTGCAGGTCTACAATTTTATCCCTGATGTCCTTACACAGCTCTCTGGTCTTGGCCATTGTGGAGAGGTTGGAGTCTGTTTGATTGAGTGTGTGGACAGGTGTCTTTTATACAGGTAATGAGTTCAAAGGTGCAGTTATACAGGCTAATGAGTGGAGAACAGGAGGGCTTCTTAAAGAAAAACTAACAGGTCTGTGAGAGCCGAATCTTACTGGTTGGTAGGTGATCATACTTATGTCATGCAGCTTGCTGACCACTGTTGGCGCAATTTTAGAAAATTGAAGAAGTTCAAGATGACGGTCAATCACCTTCGGTCTGGGGCTCCATGCAAGATCTCACCTCGTGGGGCATCAATGATCATGAGGAAGGTGAGGGATCACCCAGAACTACAACGGCAGGACCTGGTCAATGACCTGAAGAGAGCTGGACCACAGTCTCAAAGAAAACCATTAGTAACACACTAACGCCGTCATGGATTAAAATCCTGCAGCGCACGCAAGGTCCCCCTGCTCAAGCCAGCGCATGTCCAGGCCCGTCTGAAGTTTTCCAATGACCATCTGGATGATCCAGAGGAGGAATGGGAGGAGGTCATGTGGTCTGATGAGACAAATAGAGCTTTTTGGTCTAAACTCCACTCACCGTGTTTGGAGGAAGAAGAAGGATGAGTACAACCCCAAGAACACCATCCCAACCGTGAAGCATGAAGGTGGAAACATCATTCTTTGGGGATGCTTTTCTGCAAAGGGGACAGGACGACTGCACCGTATTGAGGGGAGGATGGATGGGGCCATGTATCGCGAGATCTTGGCCAACAACCTCCTTCCCTCAGTAAGAGCATTGAAGATGGGTCGTGGCTGGGTCTTCCAGCATGACAACGACCCGAAACACACAGCCAGGGCAACTAAGGAGTGGCTCCATAAGAAGCATCTCAAGGTCCTGGAGTGGCCTAGCCAGTCTCCAGACCTGAACCCAATAGAAAATCTTTGGAGGGAGCTGAAAGTCCATATTGCCCAGCGACAGCCCCGAAACCTGAAGGATCTGGAGAAGGTCTGTATGGAGGAGTGGGCCAAAATCCCTGCTGCAGTGTGTGCAAACCTGGTCAAGACCTACAGGAAACGTATGATCTCTGTAATTGCAAAGAAAGGTTTCTGTACCAAATATTAAGTTCTGCTTTTCTGATGTATCAAATACTTACGTCATGCAATAAAATGCAAATTAATTACTTAAAAATCTTAATGTGATTTTATGGATTTTTGTTTTAGATTCCATCTCTCACAGTTGAAGTGTACATATGATAAAAATTACAGACCTCTACATGCTTTTTAACAAGGAAAACCTGCAAAATCGGCAGTGTATCAAATACTTGTTCTCCCCACTGTATATATACATACATATATATACAGTGGGGAGAACAAGTATTTGATACACTGCCGATTTTGCAGGTTTTCCTACTTACAAAGCATGTAGAGGTCTGTAATTTTTATCATAGGTACACTTCAACTGTGAGAGACCAGAAAATCACATTGTATGATTTTTAAGTAATTAATTTGCATTTTATTGCATGACATAAGTATTTGATACATCAGAAAAGCAGAACTTAATATTTGGTACAGAAACCTTTGTGTGTAGGTCTTGACCAGGTTTGCACACACTGCAGCAGGGTTTTGTCCCACTCCTCCATACAGATCTTCTCCAGATCCTTCAGGTTTCGGGGCTATCACTGGGCAATACGGACTTTTAGCTCCCTCCAAAGATGTTCTATTGGGTTCAGGTCTAGAGACTGACTAGGCCACTCCAGGATCTTGAGATGCTTCTTACGGAGCCACTCCCTGGCTGTGTGTTTAGGGTCGTTGTCATGCTGGAAGACCCAGCCACAACCCATCTTCAATGCTCTTACTGAGGGAAGGAGGTTGTTGGCCAAGATCTCGCGATACATGGCCCCATCCATCCTCCCCTCAATACGGTGCAGTCGTCCTATCCCCTTTGCAGAAAAGCATCCCCAAAGAATGATGTTTCCACCTCCATGCTTTACGGTTGGGATGGTGTTCTTGGGGTTGTACTCATCCTTCTTCTTCCTCCAAACACTGAGTGGAGTTTAGACCAAAAAGCTATATTTTTGTCTCATCAGACCACATGACCTTCTCCCATTCCTCCTCTGGATCATCCAGATGGTCATTGGCAAACTTCAGACGGGCCTGGACATGCGCTGGCTTGAGCAGGGGGACCTTGCGTGCGCTGCAGGATTTTAATCCATGACGGCGTAGTGTTACACTAATGGTTTTCTTTGAGACTGTGGTCCCAGCTCTCTTCAGGTCATTGACCAGGTCCTGCCGTGTAGTTCTGGGCTGATCCCTCACCTTCCTCATGATCATTGATGCCCCACGAGGTGAGATCTTGCATGGAGCCCCAGACCGAGGGTGATTGACCGTCATCTTGAACTTCTTCCATTTTCTAAAAATTGCACCAACAGTTGTTGCCTTCTTACCAAGCTGCTTGCCTATTGTCCTGTAGCCCACCCCAGCCTTGTGCAGGTCTACAATTTCATCCCTGATGTCCTTACACAGCTCTCTGGTCTTGGCCATTGTGGAGAGGTTGGTAGTCTGTTTGATTGAGTGTGTGGACAGGTGTCTTTTATACAGGTAACGAGTTCAAACAGGTGCAGTTAATACAGGTAATGAGTGGAGAACAGGAGGGCTTCTTAAAGAAAAACTAACAGGTCTGTGAGAGCCGGAATTCTTACTGGTTGGTAGGTGATCAAATACTTATGTCATGCAATAAAATGCAAATTAATTACTTTAAAATCATACAATGTGATTTTCTGGATTTTTGTTTTAGATTCTGTCTCTCACAGTTGAAGTGTACCTATGATACAAATTACAGACCTCTACATGCTTTGTAAGTAGGAAAACCTGCAAAATCGTCAGTGTATCAAATACTTGTTCTCCCCACTGTATATATATAAAAAAAATATGTTTGGTCGAAAGAACTGACGAGACTCGTCGACCAAGATAGTAGTTTTTTGGTCGGGGACAGCCCTATTGCTGACGCTGGTTCTGTTTGTACGGCCCCAGCTGTAAACAATCTCCTATGGGATGCGCCGGCAGGAGAGAACCCCTAGACCCCCCAAACACACACCCTCTCCAAACATCCCTCAGCTGGAGCAGGCACTGTGCCGACTACCCTTCTCCATGGTGAAGCAGTGAAATAGGGGCAGGGTTCCAGCGGTTGCCGCCGCTGGGGGTTTAACTGGTGCGCGATCTCGCTGACGAGCGGGAACAAGGCTTCACCCCTGAGCACGGTGCTGCCAAACCATACCAATCCGGTCCTCTGCCAGACAGTGTTTAAGTGGTGAGAATAAGGGCATAAAAGGACTGGCTGCCTTCCTAAAGCCCAGATTAAAAGAAGCTAGACAGACAGGCTGTGTCCCAAATGGCACCCTGACCCTATTCCCTTTAAAGTACACTACCTATGGGATCTGGTTAAAAGTAGTGCACTATAAAAGGAAATAGGGTGCCATTTGTGACACAGCAAGATGCTCTGGAGCACTCTACTAGTCTCCTAGTCCCTCACAGCACTGACTTATCAGTCCTATTCGGTTTGTGTGTGCGATGGTATGGTATTCAATCAACCCTGGCTTAACAATGTTTGCGCAGTAGTCACAGGCAGCTTTGTTTACAAAGATATTGCCCACTGTGCACACACACCCCTGTATTCAATTCTGATAACTATGCACGGCCAAAAGCACTATACAAAGTAACAGCCGGGGAATAAGGGCACTTGTCTGACTCTTACACACATATCTCTGTATGATCCGGTTCTTGGAGCGTGTTGTCAAATCACACCCTGAAACGGTTATTTCCATGTCTTGTGACAGAACGCTCCAGGGAACCTCACCACAGTACCAAATCCATATGTGAAAATGCCCTATGGGGATACTGCTATTCAAATTGCTCTTAACACCCATACTCTGACTTCAATGTAGTCCGTGGCAGAGTGATTTGATCAAACCCAGAGGAGAGAGGCAAAATCTGTTTCCCTAATGAACCTATGTAGTGCACTACTTTTGACCAGGGTCCATAGGGCTCTGGTCAGAAGTAGTGCAGTATACAGGCGATAAGGTGCCATTTGGGACGCACCCAAGGAGCTCCTGTTCTGGCAGGCTGTGTGTGTCCTCTGTAGCCCAGCGAAGACCCACTCGATCAGAGCCTGAGGCCCAACAAGGACAGGCAGGAAATCAAACCTGGGTCAAGAGTCTGCAGGCTACAGAGACTAACGTACGGTGGGTTACACAATACTCTTGCTCTACTACTGCATACTCATTCCTGACACAGTCACAAGCGTGTGCAGCCGTGCACATTCACACACTTGCATGCATGCACACGGGCACACAAGAGGGTGCCAAATGATCCATTTAGTTCAGGGAGCAAAGACCCCTTTGACCACACAAATGCGCGCACACACCCCTCATGACAGATCCAACCTCTGAGGGACAGCGTTGTGCTGAAACAGGCAGATAGCCGACACCACCCTGGCAGGGCTCCCTGTAACTCTTTACCCAGCATGCAGTTCTCTCTCCACCTTGTTGTGTTTACGTTACATAACAGACGAATGCAGCTCCAGAACACCAGGCAGTCTCCGTCCCAAATGGCACCCTATTCAGTGCACTATATAGGGAATACAGTGCCATTTGGGACACAACCAGACAGAGCCCGTCTCTCTGCACCGAGAGTCTGGGTTCAGGTGGAGGGAACAAAACTGTAATCTCCACTGTGTGTAAATACAGTTGACCCACAATGGAAGGCTGCAGATAAATATAACAAAGCTCTCCTTTGATTGGTTTAGCATGTTTCTACCTCTGATAGATGGGTGTTAGCTGAATATAGGTTTTGTTGAATTGCCATTCAGACCTGGGTTTAAATAATATGAACAGAACCCAGGTCTGTTGCCATTTTTGATTCTCATTAAGTGTCTCCTATCACTCCCAACAAGGCATCACATTTCATGCATGCAGAGAGAGAACATCCGGAATGGGAGGTTGCTTGTATAACTGGAATGTTTTGATATGAGTCACACAATGATACAACACTGGCATGTGATGATTGGCGGGCGGGGCGCCAGGTCCCGCCTACTTGGCAGAGAGGGCCTCTTACCTCTTTGACGAGGTGTTTGACAGGTCTGAGGCCGCCGCCCACGCCCCACACGTTGTCTAGCCGCACCATCTCTCTCTTCATGGAGAGGAGCACCGCCGCGCGGTCCAACGCAGCTCTGTGGGGAGGGGAATAACCGCAACAGTCATCATCGCGACCATGACCATAACCACGGAGAGACGCAATGAGAAAAGGGGAATGTGTCAAGTCACAGCTAGATATTGAACACGGTCACATGAATTCAGAACAAAAAAAATACATACTGAATAAAATTGCCTAGTAAGACAGGGAATGTGTCAGGTAACAGCAGGTTTTAACTACAAAATTGACTTTCCCAACAGTATCAGTAATTCCCAACAGTATCATTTGCATTGGAATTCACATTCTCAGGTTTGAGTAGTACATCTTTAACAACAGAAAATGGAAGATTCCAAACATTAGGTAAAACCAAACAAGGGTCCTCCTAGGCATGACATGTGGCTACAATAAGTTCTGGAGGGGCTCGTTCAGTTGCTTGGAGAATGACTATGCCTCCATGGTGAGAAAACGCAAACATTTACCCTGGCCCCTTATCAGGCGGTTCTTAAGCAATTAACTCACAACCTCAGCGACCGATATATAGGTAACCACTTCAGGCTGCTTTGATGTTAAGTGGGCTTTTCCACCATATTCCTTAATCCTTAGAGAAAACTGACCTTAGGGGCAACTTCATCTGAATTCTCATCACCCTAAATGCTCACCATTAACTAATCCTCCCTGCCTTGATTCAAATCATTGTCTCTAATGTTCTTGTCGATTTATTGTCTCTGTGCCAGTTTGTTGTTTGTCTGAAGCAACCCTAAATATAATTCTAAGGACACAAAAAGTTGTTAGAATTTAAATCACCAAATGTCATCTTAAAAAAAGAAAATAATATCCCTCACCCCTTGACCTCTAACCCCTGCTCACCTAGCGTGGTCGCAGTCCACCTTGCCTTTGTAGCGGTCCAGGAATGCCATAGGTAGAGCGTGGTCCGCGATGGCTCGGGCAATAAACTGTCCCAGCATCTGTAGAGTTGGAGAGAGTTAAAGGTAAAACCTACAGTATATGTTATGTTATTCTCTTTAAATAAAAAATGGGTTTGTCTTGTGGGGGCTGGGTTGGGTTTATAGCAGCATGACAAATAAATGTGTGTCTGAAAGAAAATTGACAATGAACGCATACCAAATGGCACCTTATTCCTTATACAGTGCATTCAAAAAGTATTCAGATCTTTACTTTTTCCACTGTGTTACAATACAACCGTATTCTAAAATTGATAAAATTATTCCCCCCCCTCAATCTACACACAATACCCCATAATGACATAGCGAAAATAGTTTAGAAATGGCCAATTTATTAAAAATAAAAAAACACAAATACCTGATTTAATTAAGTATTCAGACCTTTTTGCTATGAGACTCGAAATTGAGCTCAGGTGCATCCTCTTTCCATCGATAATCCTTGATGTTTCTACAACTTGATTGGAGTCCACCTGTGGTAAATTCAATTGTTTGGACATGATTTGTAAATGTCCCACAGTTGACAGTGCATGTCAGAGCAAAAACCAAGCCATGAGGTCAAAGGAATTGTCCGTGGAGCTCCGAGACAGGATTGTGGTTCGAGCCACAGATCTGGGGGCGGGTACCCAAACGGTTCTGCAACATTGAAGGTCCCCAAGAACACAGTGGCCTCCATCATTATTAAATGGAAGAAGTTTGGAACCACCAAGACTCTTCCTAGAGCTGGCCGCCCCGGCCAAACTGAGCAATCGGGGGAGAAGGGCCTTGGTCAGGGAAGTGACCAAGAACCCGATGGTCACTCTGACAGAGCTGCAGAGTTCCTCTGTGGAGATGGGAGAACATTCCAGAAGGACAACCATCTCTGCAGCACTCCACCAATCAGGCCTTTATGGTAGAGTGGCCAGGCAGAAGCCACTCCTCAGTAAAAGGCACATGAAGGACTCTCAGACCATGAGAAACAAGATTCTCTGGTCTGATGAAACCAAGATTCAACTCTTTGGCCTGAAAGCCAAGCTTCACGTCTGGAGGAAACCTGGCACCATCCCTACGGTGAAGCATGGTGGTGGCAGCATCATGCTGTGGGGATGTTTTTCAGCAGCAAGGAATGGGAAACTAGTCAGGATCGAGGGAAAGATTAACGGAACAAAGTACAGAGATCCTTGATGAAAACTTGCTATATTGCACTCAAGACCTCAGACTGGGGCGAAGATTCACCTTCCAACAGGACAATGACCCTAAGCACACAGCCAAGACAATGCAGGAGTGGCTTCGGGACAAGTCTCTGAATGTCCTTGAGTGGTCCAGCCAGAGCCCGGACTTGAACCCAATCGAACATCTCTGGAGAGACCTGAAAATAGCTGTGCAGCGACGCTCCCCATCCAACCTGAGAGGATCTGCAGAGAAGAATGGGAGAAACTCAAGCTTGTAGTGTCATACCCAAGAAGACTTGAGGCTGTAATCGCTGCAAAGGTGCTTCAACAAAGTACTGAGTAAAGGGTCTGAATACTTACGTATGTCATATTTCCGTATATGTTTCATACATTTGCAAACATTTCTAAAAACCTGTTTTTGCTTTGTCATGATGGGGTATTGTGTGTAGATTGAGGGGGGAAAAAACAATTGAATCCATTTTAGAGGCTGCAAAGTAAAAAAAATTGGAAAAAGTCAATGGGTCTGAATACTTCAGACCAGAGCTCCATGGTCCCTTGTCAAAAGTAGTGTACTAAATAGTGCCATTTGTGATGCAGCTAATATATTTTTCCAACAAGACCTTCCCCCATCCAGTACCTGTGGGGCCTCTGGCGTGTCCAGCATAAGGTCGGGCAGCTCTTTGAGGATCTTGTCGAAGGCTCGGGCCATGTCGGACTCTGAGAGCTCCTTGCCGACCAGGTCACGGAGCAGCCTGGAGGTGAGCTCCCGGTGGCTGGCCTTGCCCTCCAGAGACAGGGACACGGCCAGGCTGGAGAACTCGTACTTGTGGTGGCCAAGGTTCAGCTCCTTCAGCAGCATCTGGGAGTGGAAGAGGGGGTATGGTGCAGACACAGACACAGGGAACACAGAGAGAAACACACACAGTTAACTTGAAGTAAAATGATTTTGGTTTTGAGACAAAACAGTAAAATAAAATGGATGCACCACCACCTAAAGGCCTTCTCAAATAACCAACCCTCCATCCAACCTCTTCCTCCCTTTAATACAACATCAAACACTTACCTGGACTTCTTTTGTGTCCCCGTGTTCAAAGTACTCCTGTACGATGGGGTTGATGGTCTTCTCCAGTTCTCTCTCGTCCAGCTCTGGAACAACTGTGGCGTACACGGTGTCTCCCTTTAAAATGAAACCGCACGACATTATAGGTGAGGAATAGCCATCTAATAACATCAACATGGCCGGCTCGCTCATTAGGCAGGATTAGGTGGCAGATTGACGAGGGCGTCATTTTCTGAGCTAAACTGACCAAGACGCACCTCCAACAACACATAAAACCTCACAATTCTGCCCCAAAACAATGACAATTTCTCTCAACCAGTACATAGGCTTTTTAGGTGAGCACTGATGGCGCCCTGTCATAAACAGTGCCCACTTTGTCAAAGGCAGGGGTGCAAAATATTTTGCTTGTCCATTCCCAGCGCACCTCTCCAGAGTGCTGTTAGACGCGTGCGTCACTCCACCAACATTCCGTAAAAAAAAAGCATCCAACATAAATCATGTAGCAGATACAGTGAGGGAAAAAAGTATTTGATCCCCTGCTGATTTTGTACGTTTGCCCACTGACAAATAAATTATCAGTCTATCATTTTAATGGTAGGTTTATTTGAACAGTGAGAGACAGAATAACAACAAATTCCAGAAAAACGCTTGTCAAAAATGTTATAAATTGATTTGCATTTTAATGAGGGAAATAAGCATTTGACCCCCTCTCAATCAGAAAGATTTCTGGCTCCCAGGTGTCTTTTATACAGGTAACGAGCTGAGATTAGGAGCACACTCTTAAAGGGAGTGCTCCTAATCTCAGTTTGTTACCTGTATAAAAGACACCTGTCCACAGAAGCAATCAATCAATCACATTCCAAACTCTCCACCATGGCCAAGACCAAAGAGCTCTCCAAGGATGTCAGGGACAAGATTGTAGACCTACACAAGGCTGGAATGGGCTACAAGACCATCGCCAAGCAGCTTGGTGAGAAGGTGACAACAGTTGGTGCGATTATTCGCAAATGGAAGAAACAAAATAACTGTCAATCTCCCTTTGCCTGGGGCTCCATGCAAGATCTCACCTCGTGGAGTTGCAATGATCATGAGAACAGTGAGGAATCAGCCCAGAACTACACAGGATGATCTTGTCAATGATCTCAAGGCAGCTCGGACCATAGTCACCAAGAAAACAATTGGTAACACACTATGCCGTGAAGGACTGAAATCCTGCAGAGCCCGCAAGGTCCCCCTGCTCAAGAAATCACATATACAGGGCCGTCTGAAGTTTGCCAATGAACATCTGAATGATTCAGAGGAGAACTGGGTGAAAGTGTTGTGGTCAGATGAGACCAAAATGGAGCTCTTTGGCATCAACTCAACTCGCTGTGTTTGGAGGAGGAGGAATGCTGCCTATGACCCCAAGAACACCTTCCCCACCGTCAAACATGGAGGTGGAAACATTATGCTTTGGGGGTGTTTCTGCTAAGGGGACAGGACAACTTCACCGCATCAAAGGACGATGGACGGGGCCATGCACCGTCAAATCTTGGGTGAGAACCTCCTTCCCTCAGCCAGGGCATTGAAAATGGGTCGTGGATGGGTATTCCAGCATGACAATGACCCAAAACACACGGCCAAGTCAACAAAGGAGTGGCTCAAGAAGAAGCACATTAAGGTCCTGGAGTGGCCTAGCCAGTCTCCAGACCTTAATCCCATAGAAAATCTGTGGAGGGAGCTGAAGGTTCGAGTTGCCAAACGTCAGCCTCGAAACCTTAATGACTTGGAGAAGATCTGCAAAGAGGAGTGGGACAAAATCCCTCCTGAGATGTGTGCAGACCTGGTGGCCAACTACAAGAAACGTCTGACCTCTGTGATTGGCAAAACGGGTTTTGCCACCAAGTACTAAGTCATGTTTTGCAGAGGGGTCAAATACTTATTTCCCTAATTAAAAATGCAAATCAATTTATAACATTTTTGACATGCGTTTTTCTGGATGATTTTGTTGTTATTCTGTCTCTCACTGTTTAAATAAACCTACCATTAAAATTATAGACTGATCGTGTCTTTGTCAGTGGGCAAACGTACAAAATCAGCAGGGGATCAAATACTTTTTTCCCACACTGTATAGGATATGGTAGAAAGAGTACGTGGCCTTTTCTGTAGCCTACAGACTGGAGATAGAATTTATGAATGTAATGAGACTTACACTTTTTACATCATGCAGGTTTCTCCGATCAAATAGCCTAACCTAAATGGTACCCAATCAAATGTGCTGTCAAACAACAAACATATCCTAAAAACAGGTTAGGTCAAAGTAAAATGGACAATCAAACCTGTTGTCATGGTGTTTCACCCCATTGTCATGATCAATGGTTTCATGATTGTATCTGTAAATCTTTGACAAGCCGATCATAGTGAAAAATAAAATACTTCTGCAGTTCCTGCTGTGTAAACACATTGCAAATAGGCTCACGATAACTCCTGATAAAGTTGGGTAGCTGATATTCAGAACTTAAAATAGACAAATTCATTAGTCACAGGAATCAGGACTAATAAAGCCAAGGCAACGGCCTGTTTTACAAATGGTGGGCCTACCATGTCTTTTGGACATATTTTTTTGGTGCTGTCCGTACCGGCCTTGATTTCCACATCCACGGACATTGATTTTTGTCCGGTCCGGACAAAATCTAAACCAATCATAGACTGTTTGGTTCAGATTTTGTCCGGTCTGGACCAGCCTTGATTTGGCCCAAACATAGACGTCTATAAATGACGTCTTTTCAACGTAACTCATTTTTGTCTTGCCTAGGGCGGCAGAACAGCAAGGACCGGCCCTGAAAAGCAACATGTAATTGAAGTGTAATTTCTCAAAAGTATATACTGAATACACTTTTTTTTTTTTAAACGGGGGGAAAGGAGATGAAGAAGAGAAAAGGGTGAGGGAAAACAGTCAAATCTAAAGAAATGTAAACAACAAATCAATACATGAAATCCTAATGTTTTTACCACTTTATTCCATGCTGTAATCTGAAATGCTACTGGTGCATTTGTTAAAAGTCCAATGCAGCTGTTTTTATCTCAATATCAAATCATTTCTGGGTAACAATGAAGTACCTTACTGTGATTGTTTTCAATTTAATGGTCAAATAAATAGCTTCTTAGCAAAGAGCAATTTCTCAAGCAATAATTTTGCTAGGTCTGTCGGAGTGGTTTGAGTGGAAAACTGAAAATTAGGTTAGGTATTTGTCTAACTAATTTACCACATAGTAATGTCACCATGGAAGGCCAAAACTCCCTCCCACCAAAACAGGCAGAAATTTCAGGCGGTCTTTTCAAACAGTGTTTAAACTAAAAAAGGGCATAATCATAATTTTTACAATTTCACAGTATTATTCTAACCTAGTGTGGAAATGTATATAAAACACAAGAAAATCAAATTTTTGACTGCACTGGGCCTTTTAAGGTATAGGACAGGGGTCAATAACTGCCATTATATTTAGGCTGAATGGCCGGGTTATGGCAAGTGTAACAGCATGATAGCAGTTCTGTGCCAAGTGCTGCCGACATATACAGTGTACTTCTAAACTTTGAATATTAACACACCAGTCGCGCTAGAGAACGGCTTAAATGTTTTTATAAACAACAATACCAGCAGATGAGTGCACTTGGCCGATTCAAGAGAAACAAGAAAAAGCAAGCTTCCTCAGTGCGCAGGGCTTCAGGAAACTAGAGCGGAGAGTGAGACCTCTATTGTTTTGACCTGCTCTGAAAAGAAGGGAAAATATCACTAGAGAGGCGAGGAGGGAGGGTTTCAGCCATTACCCAATGCACTGACTCACTTTCCTGTTTTCCCTCCTGGTTTCAGAAGTATGCTTGACCTTTAAAACAACCAAAAATGTTCTCAGACTGCACCAATGACCTGTTATGGTATTGTTGGAACACTTAAAATATTCTGCAACTCCCTTCCTTAAAGTAACCATTGATCTTAAATGGTGAAATCAAGTAACTTTCACAGACCCAGTCGTGATTGAGTGATTACTTCCAGGAAGGGAGGAGGATGGATGTATACTTTCAAGTTTTCAAAACAGGACCCATGTGACCCTTACCACACAAACCACCTAGTTAGTAGGGATCCCAGACATACCACTACTGGGATATACTGGAGAGCAGGCCTGTGTGTCTCAAGAGAATGGTAACGTCCCAAATGGCACCCTATTCCCTATAAAGTGCACTACTTTTGACCAGGGCCAAGCCCATAGGGCTATATGCTTTTAGAGGTCAGTAGGGCTGCTCTCTAGTGTCACCAACTCGGTCCTAGTTACCTGCTGCCACAGGACCACTGCTCCAGTACTGTTTCTGAAACAGCGGCACTCAAGGCCAAACTGCATTGCAATTGGCACCGGTTTTTTCCCTAGGTTTTTATCTCTTGAGCAATAGCCTTGATGGAGGCACTTTCCCACTACATGGTTCAGTCGCAGCGACCTCACCACACAGGATAGCAAAGAAAGCCTTCGACATCCACTTACAACTGATACTGTGGTTAAAGTAAAAAAATATATAGCAATTCAAAAACCCTCGCCATCATAGAGCATTTCTAAGGTGTATGGTGGAATATAAGACATAACGAAGCCAAACAATATAGTCAAGGCCTATGACAGAACAAGCCTACATTTGTGATAATAATGTAAGGTATTCCACCCAGAATAGAATACAAATAAAAACTGTATTTTCCGATTCCATTCAAAAAGATTCAAGAGGATGTACGACTCATTATGTGAGTCATAATTATGGCGATGGATGTTGACAACAGGGTTGTGTTCAGACGCCATGAAAAGGAAGAAAGCAGTCCGAAACGGAGCGCTAAATGGGGAGGTATTATCTGTTCAATACGAAATGCTGCTTTTAGTCTTCTATTACAAAATGTTTTGAAAATGTGTCCTGATGAGCATGATCCAGTTGTGGACTTTGTATGGACAATATCTGCTTGTCTGGGAGCATGTGGCCCCTGCATTCACCGCCAGTCCCAGCAATCACCACCAGCATGTTATTTATGATCCAAAACGGGCAGCGGCTTTGTGATGACTGGCCACTTCTGAACAAAAGCTAGTCCAAAAACAGAGCTCAGAGCAAAACAACTAGAACCCGACCCTGGCCCGTAGTAGCCCCCTCATCTAAGTAACTGTTGTCTTTGTAGTAACAATTTGGGACAGGGATTGTGGGGACACTGGTGAAGAGGAGACGAGAGGGGTGCGTGCAGAGGCTCTATTGTGTAGGTTAGGGGTAGGAGAGAGCTCATGTCGTTTACACACACCTCTAACTTGTGCCCCCCCTCTTACCTGTGCAACCTCGTCGTAGTTGGGGTCCTTGACATCTGGTTCCTCTACCTCGTACACCATCCCTGCTGCTCCCCACACACCTTTACCCCCTGCACCACCTGTTGTGAAAAGACCACATCAACATCAGAGCTAGTCAGTTATCATTGGCGACACATTTAGAATAGATGGGTTTTGTGAACCCAGGGAGATTACCTCAGCCATGAGCTCTGCTCTATGATCAGCTTACCTGACTTCAATCCTAAACAAAAACTGTTATGGCCCCAGACCAAAACTGGCACTAGACCACCAGCGCTTACAGAGTAGATGACTTCCATCCATCTATTAGCATAGTTAGCATTATTAGCTGTTAGCCTAACATTAGCACATACCTTTCTTGGGCAGGCCCCGGCCCTTGCCCGTCCTGGACTTGCGGTCGTTGGGGACGGGCACCTTGCCCTTGGGGCTGTGGGAGTCGCCGTCGGCCAGCTCACCCGACAGCGACTCGGAGAGCGACTCGCTGCGGGATGACGATTTGCGCACACGCCGCTTGGCCTTGGCCTTGAGCCGCGCCTCGTGGAGCGCCTTCTCCTGTGGCGTCCAGTTGCCGTTCACCTCCGCCTCGAGCGCAGCCTCGTCCTCATCGCCATAGGGATGGTCCACCTCCACATCGTCATCGAAGGATAACACCCCTGCAAGGACAGGCAGTGAGTTTAAAAGGTGCAGTATGGAGTTTAATCAATTACATGTAAATATGAATAACATTGAACCAGCAGGACTGCACCTTGGTTGGCTTAAATACATTTGTTAATACATGTCTGCAGGTTTTTATTTTTTTATTAAACTATTTTTGCTGTTCTTCCAGTGGCCACAGGGGGACAAAGACTCTGCAGAATGCACCTTTGACAACAGAGGTATGAATTTGATTGTGTAGCCTACATTGTTCAGTGTAGTAAGTTATGGAGATGGCTATTCAAAAGGTTTATATGTCTGTGGAAACATGACAACTATTTGAATGTCAACTGCCAGCACTTCTACTACAAATTACAGAGAATCAGAATCCCCAAGTATGAGAAACGTGTCCAGTCACGGTCATGAGATTATAATAATTAAAGGATTACAGAGAGAGAGCCAGTAAGTCAAGGAAAATATTCAAAACTTTCTAAGGACTTGGAGGAACACTATATGATGCCCCGTCTCCTTATTAATTCAGCCACTTTCTTAGATAACTAGCCCCCCCCAAAAAAGAATATGCATAAGAAATATCTTGTTACACTCCTGAGAGGCGCAGAAGTCTTAGGCACTGCATCGCAGTGCTGAGATGCGGCCGTGACCGGGAGCCCCATAGGGCGGCGCATAATTGTTCCAGGGTCGTCCGGGTTAGGGGAGGGTTTGGCCAGGGGGATTTCCTTGGCCCATGGCACTCTAGCGACTCCTTGTGGCGGGACAGGCACCTGCAAGCTGACTTCGGTCATCAGTTGAATGGTGTGGCTGGCTTCCTGGTTAAGCGAGCAGTGTGTTAAGAAGCAGCAGCGCTTGGCGGGTCATGTTTTAGAGGACGCATGACTCAACCTTCGCCTCTCCCGAGCCCGTTGGGGAGTTGCAGTGATGAGACAAGATTGTAACTACCAATTGGATATCACGGAATTGGGGAGAAAAAGGGTCTAACATCATTTTTTTTATATCTTACTGCATTTTCTAAATGCAACTCTAAAATGCTTCTTATTGTAATTTCTGCTCAGCCTTAGACTAATTTTGTTCTTCAGTTTCACAATTCACAAACGGCATTCTATCAGCAGACAGCACTCGGACTGATGTGTAGCTACTTTTCGGTGTAGCCTACTTTTCTCAGGTAAAATGCAAGATTAATTTTAAGCAAAACATTAGAAAATGTAGCTGGCTAAATTATTTATAGGATAAACATTAGAAATATGATGGCCATGCATTATTTTTGCAAAGACCACCTTTCTTTTTCATTGTAAACTAATTTACTTGTGGCTGCCAGCCAAATAGTGCTGCACTTCTGTTGTCATCCGATGAAAATGAAGCCATTTTCTGCCTAATGTATTGCACTAATGTATTTTCTGTGAAAGAAAACTAAAGTTGCACGCCCCTGATCACTGTATTGAAGCAAAAAAAACAACTTTCAATATACACTGAACCTAAATATAAACGCAACATGTAAAGTGTTGGTTTCATGAGCTGAAATAAAATATCCCAGAAATGTTCCATATGCACTAAAAGCTTAATGCTCAAATCTTGTGCACAAATTTGTTTAAATCCCTGTAAGTGAGCATTTCTCATTTGCTAAGATAGTCCATCCACCTGACAGGAGTGCCATATCAAGAAGCTGATTAAACAGCATGATCATTACACAGGTGCACCTTGTGCTGGGACAATAAAAGGCCACTAAAATGTGCAGTTATGCCACAAAACACAATGCCACAGAGGTCTCAAGTTTTGAGGGAGTGTGCAATTGGCATGCTGACTGCAGGTATGTCCACCAGCGCTGTTGCCAGATCATTTTATAAATAAATAAATAAATAAATAATTGGTCATTTAGCAGACGCTCTTATCCAGAGCGACTTACAGGTGCAATTAGGGTTAAGTGCCTTGCTCAAGGGCACATCGACAGATTTTTCACCTAGTCGGCTCGGGGATTAGAACCAGCGACCTTTCGGTTACTGGCACAACGCTCTTAACCACTAAGCTACCTGCCGCCCATGTTCATTTCTCCACCACCTGCCTCCAATGGCCTTACAACCGCAGACCATGTGTATGGCGTTGTGTGGGTGAGCGGTTTGCTGATGTCAACGTTGTGAACAGAGTGCCCCATGATGGCGGTGGGGTTATGGTATGGGCAGGCATAAGCTACGGACAACGAACACAATAGCATTTTATCAATTGCCAATTTGAAAGCACAAAAATACCGTGATGAGATCCTGAGGCCCATTGTGATGCCCATTTTTTGCATCTGTGACCAACAGATGCATATCTGTATTCCAAGTCATGTGAAACCCATAGATTAGGGCCTAATGAATGTATTTCAATTGACTGATTTCCTCATATGAACTAACTAATTTACATTTTAGTCATTTAGCAGATGCTCTTATCCAGAGCGACTTCCAGGAGCAATTAAGGGAAAGTGCCTTGCTCATGAGCACATCATATTTGTCGGCTCGGGGATTCGAACCAGTGACCTTTAAGTTACTGGCCCAAACACTAGGCTACCTGCCGCCCCAATCTTCGAAATTGTTGCAAGTTGCATTTATATTTTTGTTCAGTATAAAACGACACCCGTCAATACACAGCTGGACTCACCTGCTCCTGCTTTCTCTCATTGTGCTATTGGCAAACAAACCGTCAGACCAGTTGAGCTTGTCAAACTACGGTAAGCTTCATAATGTAAAATAATGTGACAGGTGAAATGAAGAACGAAATCTTATCTCCTAATGTATTGCACAAGTTGACTGCAGGTGTTTACTTAAAAAGTAGCTACAAATATGATAATTTATAGAAAAACTTCAAACAAATAGTTTAAAAACTGTATTGACGGTATTGAAAAACCATCCCGTGGCCCTTTCCAAATACCCCGGTATACTGAACGGAAATGGCGGAGCTATTTCTGCATATTGCACCTTTAAACCAACAGCCACAAAGTGCTTCACATCAGACATGGTTCTGCCATGGCAAAATGTGCCCGTATCTATATTTGTGTGCTGTACTGTAGCTTTAAAAAAAGGGGGCAATCTAAAGTCCATCAATTTTGTGACTTCTAAATTAATTACATGTAACCATTGATTCTTGAAGAGTATAACCTATAAATGCCTCATAAGCTTAGTTCAACTGTCATACCACATCAGAACCCAAAACATACGCTTGTTTTCCTCCAATGTTCATAAACAAAGTAAACAAACACCGTATAGCCTCAAAACATGATAAAAACTAGTCATTGCATCAATAGCTCGGCCTATACATTTGAGTGGTTTCATTTTTCCAGCCCCCCCCTCAGCTTTTTACTCAAACATTGGCAGGGAGATCTTTGTTATTAATTTAAACTGCTGATTGGCGCTTTAACAAAATGATGCAATGTTTACAGCAACTGCACGATCCTATGGGGCCCTTCAGAGTTTAAGCGCTTTACTAACCAAACTGCTTAGGCCCATAAAGCCAGAATCATAAAAATAAAATAAGTGTCTTACGGGTAGAAAGTCCAGATTTAGACTAGGCCTATACATTCTTCTGTCAAGTGTCGAGCCTCCGCCCTATTTTACAACAAAGCCTTATTTTATCAGGTCAACTCAAGAATGTGGTGAACGGAGGTAAGTTTTGATGAATATTGGTCTGTTAAGCATAACCTATTAGTCTTATCTGCTTTTAAAGGGTTTGCATTCTATGATAACGACTACCCAATGGTTTCATCAACGATAGAACTGGATAGATTGAAGCGCTAACATCAACATGTCAGCTCAAACAGCAGAGCATGCTCAGGCGGTGTGGAACGTTACCAGCTGTTAGAAGCCCTCGTGGCTGCTCACACCACATTGCTTAATAAGGTGATTTACAGAGGCAAGTCCACACGTACACAACATATGCAAACCAAAACGTGCCTAATAGTCTACACCTAAGTCTCGAAACACCTTTGAGCTATAATACCAGAGATCAGGAGAAAGAGATAATAAAATGCATTTTGCAGGTAACATTCTGAAGACAAATAGTCTTACTACTACCAGGACTACCCCAAGCATAGTTGGCCCACTTCCATATATTAAACAGTTGTGCGGTGACACTTTTAGCAGGTCTCAGCCCTTACAACACCAGGGCAACCCACTAATCCCAATTTATTATGGAGACTGACCACACAACACGAGCTACACATTGACACACACACTCCTGCACTACCAGCCATTCAGCCCACAGGTGCAGTAGCTAGTTAAGACTGTTAAGAGGATTAGCAAAACATTTAATTCCCTCCTGCTCCCTCGTGTGTACGGAGCCAGGGAAAAGGACAGGTCTCAGTCTACATTAAGCGTCTTGTGGGAACAACAACAAATGGAGTTGAAGTAGAGCCCTAGTAGTGGTGGGGGCAAGCAAAGGGCACATGGGGGGCAAAAAATGCTGACGTGAGCGCTTTTTCTATCCTTCTCGTCGGCATCTCGTCGCTACCACTCAGCATGGGTCAGACTACATATGGCAGTGTTGGGCCCACGGCCAGTCAGATGACCCCTCAAGAGGAGCAGGAATTTCTCAGGGTGTAATGAATACCCCAGAGCCCTCCAACAAAGCCCACCGCCCCAAGGCCGAGCCCTAAGAGGAGTTACGGCCCTATAGATTACAGGGACCAGAAGGGCGGCCCAACCACAGAGCAGATCCAGCACTGTCTGGAGACTGGAGTGGAGCTAGCACCAGCCAAGCTACTTTTACTGGCCATGAGTGCTGTGTGTGCCTGCATCCAAAATGGCACCCTGTTCCCTAGATATTGCACTACTTCTGAGGCCAGTGGGCCCTGTTTCAGTTAAAAGTAGTGCACTTTTGGACAAAGCCTGTGTGTCTGCTCTCCTAGAAGGGCTAGATGATCCAGGCGCCCACGAGCAGGTCAATCATTCAAACGAGCTAGTGGTCAGTGAGGCGTTTTGTACATGGATCAAGTGAAAAGGATTCCTACAGGGTGTAAAAGGTGTAACAGATTGCTGTACGGTATGCACACACACAGGAAGAGTCTCTCGCTCTCTGATTCTAACCACAAGCGTGGGCCGGCCAACCGTCGGTCAGAAACACACCCTGGGCCTGCAAAGCTGTAAACAACTAACCAAGTCTCTTGTCCTCCTCCACCTCCCTTCAAATAGGCCACATGCCCTGCCAGAGCAGTAAATTAGAGGAAGACCCATGTCAACCAGCCAAAAACAGGCCTGGCCAATTGGAAACAGGAAGAAAAGGAGGAGAGGAGAGCAGAGAGAGGAAACTAGGGTTCTGCTAAGTCAGAAACCAGAAACTAAATGTGCTACATAAGCAAAAGGTAACTTTATACCTCTCGGAGTAGCTAGCACTGGCCACATGCCTTTTGACATTTGTAATGCAGTGATCTGTAGTCTTTGAGGCCATGTAAGTTGTCACTGACTGTATAGGGAACTGAAAGTGCTAGAAACTAGATTTTTTTTCTATTTCAGTGTGTGTTTTATTTTATTTTATTGTTTTGTTGTTGTTGTTTGTTTTTTTTACAAGTGTGTGTGTCCATCATAGGCAGCCTAGCTGTATGGAGAAGTGCTTTCTGTATCCATAAGAGTCCAGATATGTGTCCTTTGAAATGTTTGAATCCGTCGACTGTATTGTGATTTGTGGATTCAAATAAAGTATTTAAAAATGTGAGTCGCAGTTTCCGCAGGGCGATGACTGGCGCAAATCAGACACACGTTCCTTCTGCGCTCTGTATTTAATCCAGACTGCCCCACCCACACTCAGACAAAAAGATTACTAGCCCATAGGCTACCCCCCCAGTCTGAAACTATTTCTCTCTCACACACACACTCCTCTTAAACAGTATTACAGTAACCTTAGTAAATTAACCGGAGTAAAAAATAAATTAAAAAAACTAAACAGCAGGACAGACAGCAGATCCTCCTAAAAGCTTTGGGCTTGATCCAGGTCAGAGGGGAACTTTGCTGTCAAAAACAACCCCTTGTATTCCTGCGTTAGTAGCCTGTAGGCCTACATGGGTAATCGTAAGATTAACTCCCACTAGTAGTGTAAAGGTATTCAGTAGACCTGTGTGTGTGTACACATTTAAACAAAATTGGGATCCTTAACATTAAGAAAAATCCATAACCCCACAATTTTTAAATCACATTGCAGCTGGATCGCCTGCCCTTTCTCTTCGCTAATGATACGAACATGTGTTCAGTCTTTCGCGTGTAGAATATCCTAGCCTATTTATTGATGATAGGCCCTGCTTTACTGATGTTGCGAGACATTGCAAGCCAGTAAATACAGCATTCCATTGCGAGATACAGATTTTGATTGTTGATAGATAGGCCTAGTACATGGTTCAGATTCAGTCTGTCTGGTGGCCGACCTGCCTATACTGTGCCCCTCCCCTCTTTCTCTGCCCCTCGCAATGAAAGATGTGTGTTTGTTTCTCGGAAGTACGGGAACTAAATCAGTCTCCTCCATTCCAAAAATACTGAATCTTAAGCCCTAGTCGCACGGGACTAGTATTACTATAGAACGTCGGTTATGTAATTATTACCCCAGCATGTCCGTTTTTCCAGTGGACGATTCAGACGGGATTAGTTTTACCAAACTGCCCCTGTAATTCAAAATTGACCATTAAGATGAAGCCTGGAGGCAAAAGTATGTGGACACCTGCTCGTCGAACATCTCATTCCAAAGCCATGGGCATTAATATGGAGTTGGTCCCCCCCTTTGCTGCTATACAGCCTCCACTCTTCTGGGAAGGCTTTCCACTAGATGTTGGAACATTGCTACAGTGACTTGCTTCCATTCAGCCACAAGAGCATTAGTGAAGTCGGGCACTGATGTTGGGCGACTAGGCCTGGCTCGCAGTCGGCGTTCCAATTAATCCAGGTGTTCAAATCAAATAAATAGAATCTTATTTGTCACATGCACCGAATACAACAGGCGTAGACCTTACAGTGAAATGCTTACTTCAAAGCCCTTACACGGCCAGGTCTCGGACCTCCTCCCTATAGGCTGTCTCGTCGTTGTAGGTGATCAGGCCTACCACTGTTGTGTCATCGGCAAACTTAATGATGGTGTTGGAGTCGTGCCTGGCCATACAGTCATGAGTGAACAGGGAGTACAGGAGTGGACTGAGCACGCACCCCTGAGTGGCCCCTGTGTTGAGGATCAGCGTGTTGTTACCTACCCATACCACCTGGGGGCGGCCCGTCAGGAAGTCCAGGATCCAGTTGCAGAGGGAGGTGTTTAGTCCCAGGGTCCTTAGCTTAGTGATGAGCTTTGAGGGCACTATGGTGTTGAACGCTGAGCTGTAGTCAATGAATAGCATTCTCACATAAGTGTTCCTTTTGTCCAGGTGTGAAAGGGCAGTGTGGAGCGCAATAAAGATTGCATCATCTGTGGATCTGTTGGGGCGGTATGCAAATTAGAGTGGGTCTAGGGTTTCTGGGATAATGGTCAGGTTGAGATCAGGGCTCTGTGCAGGCCAGTCTAGTTCCTCCACACCGATCTTGACAAACCATTTCTGTATGGACCTCCCATTGTACAGGGGGGCATTATCATGCTGAAACAGAAAGGGCCTTCCCCAAACTGTTGCCACAAAGTTGGAAGCACAGAATGTCATTGTATATTGTAGCGTTCAAATTTCCCGTCACTGGAACTAAGGGGCCTAGCCCGAACCATGAAAAACAGCCGCAGACCTTTATACCTCCTCCACCAGTTCTCCTGGCATCCGCCACACCCAGATTAGTCCGTCGGATTGCCAGATGGTGAAGCGTGACAGAGAAGGCATTTCCACTGCTCAAGAGTCCAATGGCGGCGAGCTTTACACCACTCCAGCCGTATGCGGCTGCTCAGCCATGGAAATCCATTTAATGGCGCTCCCGACGAACAGTTATTGCACTGACGTTACTTCCAGAGGCAGTTTGGAACTCGGTAGCGAGTGTTGCAACTGAGGACAGACGATTTTTATGCGCTACCCGCTAAAGCGCTCGCCAGTCCCGTCCTGGGAGGTTGTGTGGCCTACCACTTCGCGGTTGAGCCGTTGTTGCTCCTAGACGTTTCCACTTCACAATAACAGCAGGGGTGTCCACATTTCAAATGTCTAAGGATACCCTAATATTGGCCTAATGGCCTTCAGTTCAGAGAAAGTCATAATGCATATCAATAAGAACCATTAACTGTAACCGTCGCAGACATTTAATTAACTGATGTTTTTGGCAATTTATTGGTACGATATCGTCCAATAAAAAAAGTTGATATTTGACAAAAACGTCTCATTCATCTGTATGAATGTGCATAGCACTTTTTGTAAGCATCAATTTGTTCCCATGTTCTTACCCAAACTCTGTAATATCCCTCGAAACACAGGGATGGCGATTCGCACGGGATAAGTATTATCAGAGGACCTGGGAGTTTGCCGAAAAACAGTAGGTTTTTAGGACAGGGACAACCTTCCTGCCAAGTAAAAAATTACTGACATAGCAGATTCGGACGGGACTAAAATGACAGATGTGGTGACTTGTGCTCGTGTACATAATTACATTACCTGAGCTCCCCCAGTAAAACTTAGCCCGTTCGAATAGCGCTTTAGGAGTCAATTCCTAGCGGAAAAGGTTATCTTTCTACTAAATGTCTTGGTAAGTCACAGTATTTAACAAACTTGAAAGTACTTTTTTTAGGAAAGAGTGGTCGGCGAGCAGGCTAGCTGCACGCAGGCAGCTCAAGATTATTTGATTGACAGTTCTGGTCACCTAGTGATGGACGTTCGTCCCGCTTCAGAAGCGGCATTCCTTTACAGACAAGTAAAATGCCCGTTCAGTGGCGCTTCGAAACTTTCTCCAGAGAAGGTTTTGTGTCGTCATTTAAAAAGCCATAGTGTAACCTTGCAGACAAAAAACATTTACATTTTAGTCATTTAGCAGACGCTCTTATCCAGAGCGACTTACAGGTAGTGAGTGCATACATTATTATTTTTTAATTTTTTCATACTGGCCCCCCGTGGGAATCGAACCCACAACCCTGGCGTTGCAAACGCCATGCTCTACCAACTGAGCTACATCCCTGCCGGCCATTCCCTCCCATACCCTGGACGACGCTGGGACAATTGTGCGCCGCCCCATGGGTCTCCCAGTCGCGGCCGGCTACGACAGAGCCTGGATTCGAACCAGGATCTCTAGTGGCACAGCTAGCACTGCGATGCAGTGCCTTAGACCACTGCGCCACTTGTAGTAGCCGAGGTGCATTCAAGGGTATATGACTGCGGTAGATATAACCTCATTGCCCTAGTGTGTATGTACACTGTTTAGGCCTGGCACCGCTTGGACGTGGTGAGAGGCTGGGGTCAGTGGAGCAACATTTTCAGAGAGATGGGAGAATTGACCCAGTTCCACAGTAGTAATGGCTGCTTGGTGTGAGGTGACAGTGGCAGTTCAGTAAGGAGGTCACTCACAGCCAAACAGGTTGGAGTCAGTGGGGTAATGGACGCAAAGTAGGTTTGCAAAATTCTGTAAACTTTCTCAAAACTCCCCAAAATCCTGGTTGGAAGATTAACGGAATCAGAAAGGAATAGGCAAGAAATCCAGGAATCCTCCAACCAGGATTTCTAGAAAACCTGGGCATTTTGGAAAAGTTACCAGAGTTTTGCAACCCTAAAGCCAAGGCAAGGAAGGGGGCTTTCACATGATGAAATGCAGTCCCAAACTGTTGTCCGACAGGGCCGTGTTCAGTGTGGAGAATTTGTTTTCAAACAGGGTGAAAAGGGAGGTGCTACTACCTAGACCAATAACATACAACACAAATTATTGTTTTCTGTTGCTAAATGTATTTATACGATGTTCCTTGCTGAACACGAACAAGCACTCTCTGCGGCTTGATCCAGGACAATCAGACTTATCTGGTGTGTTGTTACAGTTGGGTTAAGGAGGGAGAGAGAGGGGGTGTGGTTGGTTGGTGATTCTGTCCTGGGGAGGGGGGGGGGTGGGGGTTCAACTGTCAGTAAGGGGCAGACAGACACAGAGGATTGTCCAGACAGACGAGTTAGCTACAGAGCTTACTGGGAAGATATTAGACGATTTCCAATTATGTCTATTATTGAACTAGGGTTTTTTTAAGTGTTGTTTTGGCCTCCTTTAATTTACATCATTGTTTTAAGTAAATAAAAGTTTGCACTAAAAAGAGCCAATGAGGCTCAGTGTCTTTTGCTTAGACTTAAGCTGCATCCCAAATAGCATAGGGTGATAGGGAATACAGTGCCATTTCAGACAGGCCATATATCTGTTCCCAGCTGGGTTTGTTTTCTGTCCTCATTTGAAATTAAGCGATTGACTGAGTCGTGGACCTTAACGTACATTATGTGTAGTCAGTAGGCCATAAACAAATCCGGCTTCACATTTCAGTGTAGCGCAAGCTCCATTATGCTCTACTTTTCAGCCTATATTTACCTCAGGACTACTATCTATATAAATGTTCTGCTGACATGTAGTACCCTACAACGCTGCTAAAATAACACTGCAGCCCATCACGTTAATACTCTATAGGCAGGTTGCTGCTCCATTCAAAAGATGGGTTACGCTCCACACTCGCATCAGATAATCATCAAATAAAGACATGCCAAAGCAGGTATATTATAAAAAATGTCAACTCAAACAAGTATACTAGTAATAATTGAAAATGCAGTTTGTTCCAGTTGCTGCTAGGCTATATGTAAGCCTATGCAAGATATGTCAGCGGTGGTGTGGACGTTGCAGCATTTCACGGGTTAAATAATTTCACTGACAGTTGTGATGAGCTCTATAGACCCACATAGGCCTGTATGTTTGCGGGAGGGTTTTTCCTCCAACCCACACAAAGGCGTCTTTGACGGGGAGTGTTACCACCACCACAGCAGCGGAGCTGTTTAATCAAGCGCGACAGGCCTTCCTCGAGTAGACTAGGGCCAACAGAGTTCATATGGAAGAGCAACAGCCCATATGTGCACAGATGTATGGTAAACAACTATGACTCGAGCAAGGAGTGTACCATTAAAGTGCACATTCCTTGCACTTTCTTGCCTTACATATGGGGGGGTTGTATTTTATATACTTGTGTGTTTAAAATCTTCTTAGTAGATCTGAGTGATTAACCCAACAACAACAAAAAAGATTGGTTATTAAACAACTAAATTGGACAACTTCAGTTCAATTACTTGAATTCCATTTAGTTAGTATTTTTTGTGACCCCAACACGCAATTCCTCTAGAGATCAAACCATTCAGGAGAGAAATCATGTCAAGACCTACAGTGGGGGAAAAAGTATTTAGTCAGCCACCAATTGTGCATGTTCTCCCACTTAAAAAGATGAGAGGCCTGTAATTTTCATCATAGGTACACGTCAACTATGACAGACAAATTGAGGGGAAAAAAATCCAGAAAATCACATTGTAGGATTTTTTATGAATTGATTTGCAAATTATGGTGGAAAATAAGTATTTGGTCAATAACAACAGTTTCTCAATACTTTGTTATACACCCTTTGTTGGCAATGACACAGGTCAAACGTTTTCTGTAAGTCTTCACAAGGTTTTCACACACTGTTGCTGGTATTTTGGCCCATTCCTCCATGCAGATCTCCTCTAGAGCAGTGATGTTTTGGGGCTGTCGCTGGGCAACACAGACTTTCAACTCCCTCCAAAGATTTTCTATGGGGTTGAGATCTGGAGACTGGCTAGGCCACTCCAGGACCTTGAAATGCTTCTTACGAAGCCACTCCTTCGTTGCCCGGGCGGTGTGTTTGGGATCATTGTCATGCTGAAAGACCCAGCCACGTTTCATCTTCAATGCCTTTGCTGATGGAAGGAGGTTTTCACTCAAAATCTCAAGATACATGGCCCCATTCATTCTTTCTTTTACACGGATCAGTCGTCTTGGTCCCTTTGCAGAAAAACAGCCCCAAAGCATGATGTTTCCACCCCCATGCTTCACAGTAGGTATGGTGTTCTTTGGATGCAACTCAGCATTCTTTGTCCTCCAAACACGACGAGTTGAGTTTTTACCAAAAAGTTATATTTTGGTTTCATCTGACCATATGACATTCTCCCAATCCTCTTCTGGATCATCCAAATGCACTCTAGCAAACTTCAGACGGGCCTGGACATGTACTGGCTTAAGCAGGGGGAAACGTCTGACACTGCAGGATTTGAGTCCCTGGCGGCGTAGTGTGTTACTGATGGTAGGCTTTGTTACTTTGGTCCCAGCTCTCTGCAGGTCATTCACTAGGTCCCCCCGTGTGGTTTTGGGATTTCTGCTCACCGTTCTTGTGATCATTTTGACCCCACGGGGTGAGATCTTGCGTGGAGCCCCAGATCGAGGGAGATTATCAGTGGTCTTGTATGTCTTCCATTTCCTAATAATTGCTCCCACAGTTGATTTCTTCAAACCAAGCTGCTTACCTATTGCAGATTCAGTCTTCCCAGCCTGGTGCAGGTCTAAAATTTTGTTTCTGGTGTCCTTTGACAGCTCTTTGGTCTTGGCCATAGTGGAGTTTGGAGTGTGACTGTTTGAGGTTGTGGACAGGTGTCTTTTATACTGATAACATGTTCAAACAGGTGCCATTAATACAGGTAATGAGTGGAGGACAGAGGAGCCTCTTAAAGAAGAAGTTACAGGTCTGTGAGAGCCAGAAATCTTGCTTGTTTTGTAGGTGACCAAATACTTATTTTCCACCATAATTTGCAAATAAATAAATTAAAAATCATACAATGTGATTTTCTGGATTTTTTTCCCTCATTTTGTCTGTCATAGTTGACGTGTACCTATGATGAAAATTACAGGCCTCTCATCTTTTTAAGTGGGAGAACTTGCACAATTGGTGGCTGACTAAATACTTTTTTTCCCCACTGTATGTGGGCCGCTGGGCTGAAGGGAGTTGTATTTTTAATTAAGCAAATATTCAACCTAATTCAGTGCAACATGGTATTTAACTACAGTGACCATAATCCATTGCGCCTGTATTTTCCGCCTCGGACCGAGATGGACACACTTTTACGCCTGCTATGTTAGATACACACAGACCGCATGAGAGGGCAACAACACAACCAAGATGGATAAAGACAGTTCGTAAAAGTATCCCGATCTACTTTGAAGAACTAGTAAAATGATTGTCAAACAGCTCTGCAGCATGCCTAGCTAAATAAGAGGACTAAAGACAGTACAGCACAGAGAACGTTGTCTGGCTGTTTGGTTGCTATTGCCTGAGCAGAGATGAGATTACTTTTAGGAATTAAAAATAACACAAATAAAAACTAAGTAATATACACAACTGAAATATTATATTATTTCATAGTAATTTCCAACTTTTTTTTTTGATATTTCAGTGAATGTTTTTTTTTACATATATTCTAAACCAAAATGACCTCAAAAAGCACTAATCGCTCAGCACTACTTTTTTTTAAAAAAGTGAAATTCCAATGTATGTACTTGTACTTTACAAATGGCAATAACTTGAGTATTTTCACACATGATGTGACACTAGAATGAAACCCTGGGTTTAATTCTGCTGAACACTTGTTGTATTTAATGTTTATGAATAAATATTTTCACAGTGAATTGTAATCATTATCAGATATTCCAAGTATAGATGGAATCATGTGATCCTTCCTTCACTCATAGGAAGTCCCACCCAGTTGACTACTTTAAAATGGTGAAGCCCTCAATGGCAATGTCCATGCCAAAACTTGTTTTATCCATCTAGAGTCCTCAATCTAACTATATGGTGGTAAATTCCCACTGGTTATCAACTCAGCATGAGTAGTCAGTCGTAGGTTACACAGGGTTGTGTGTGTGTCTACTAATCTCGAATTCTGCTCGAGAAAGACAACATTTATTATGTAGAAGCCACATGCCACATGAAGCCACATGAAACAGTATGTCTTCGGCCAATGCAAGATGTCATGCGACCATTTTGCTCAATGGGGATATTCATGTCGATGCAATAGAGAGAATGATTAGAGCTCGTTTCCGAATCCATCCCATTCAACATTGGCATAATGAATGATGTGCAATATGGCATACAGGTTGTATTTAACAAATATGCATATAAGTTACTTGATGTTCGTTGCAGTATTTTTCAAGTAGCCCAATAAAAAAGGTATTGCACGCAACGGATTGCACGTCTGGTAAGGGGGCGTGGTATTGTTTGACAACATTAACATTCAGTTCGTCGATTGACCGCATGCTTATACAAACAAAGGGGTTTGTCAAATTACCGAGATTATGATTAAAAACACATGATAACATTGGCCAAGAATGAAAGCACTGTCGCATCAATGTTTATGGTCATTCCAGACTAGAGGTAAAGGAAATGTGTTCTTCAAAGCAGTAACGTTAATCACAAAACACCCCTTAATACAAATAAATGTGTAGGCAAATGTCCGTAATTTAAACATTTGACAGGTCAGTATATAACTGTTAGTGATTGATTGCGCAACAACGGTGTTCTACAGTATGTATGCACGCATGACTGTAAGTCGCTTTGGATAAAAGCGTCTGCTAAATGGCATATTATTATTATTATTATTATAGTATGTTGATTGGCGAAGGGCTAACGTATCTGGCTAGCCAGTTAGATAGCAAGATGCAAATAGGAAGGTAATGCACTGCAAAACCACAAGTCTCGAAGGGGTTAAGTATTAGAGAGCGTCTTCACATGTGCCCAGCAAGACAATGGGTCCATAAAAAAAACTAGAAAACAATGCATCCTCAAATATATCGTTCAGCAATTTGTGAGTTGGCCGTCGAATTAACGTGCTAGCTATCTAGCTTCATTGCTAACTCGAGCACATGGTGGAATGTGGCTGGAACTGCAGCCCAACCCTTTGAGACAATAGGCGAAGTGGGCAAACATGTTTTCCTCGTTCAATCCAAACGATTTACTGCCTTGAAATAAGCATGTATTCGTGCATATGCTATTCAAATAACTCACCATCGTGTTTTTGAACGGTGGTCCATGTCTCCACTTCCGTCGACATGGCGCTCTTGAAATGGTTGTTTACCGTTTGATAGCAATCCCCACCGTTTGGTCTGTCACGGAAAAAAATAGCAGAAACGTGCAAAACAGCGTGAACAAACAATCAAACAAAATGTGCATCTAAAGTAAACATTGATGTTATGCACATGCTTGGCAAACATTGTGAGTACGTTAATCCTCACCCTCAGGCAGCTTGCTTGGTCGCGTTATATCACGTCAGCTATAATACCAAACAAAATATGAAATGTAGTAGCAAAATTAATGTCAAATAAATTCGACAATTTTTTTAGGATAAACAATATATAACTACTACTCCTTTCAGAATAAATCGGACAAGAGTATGAAAAAAACGATGCGCAAAAGAGAAAACTAGTCCATGGACATTTCCGCAGCACCCTTTAAAATAAACAAAGTCTGTTTTTAACTTTGGAACGTCTGTCTTAATATCACGTGGAGAAGGCGCGAGCGGTGAGTGGTTAATACAGGGGCAAGTCCTTATCTGTTCTGGCCAATCATTTAGGGTTAGTGTTATCCGAGATTCTTGGGACGTCCCTACCCTAAACCCTAAACGGAACCCCGACCGTTACCCTAATCATAACGGTACCTAACCCTAACCATTTTTTTTTTCAACTTCAATGGGGTAGGGACGTCCCAAGCAACTGAGATTGCAAGGACCAATCATATAGCAGTACAATATAGACAGGACAATGAAGGTCATAGATTTACAATCACAAGCAACAATCGATACATTTCATGAGGTTCGACCATACTACTCATTGCATGTTTCAATTAAATAGACTGTTATTATCCTTATGCTGAACAAGGCAGCTTTTTTATATACATTTTACTTTTTACGTTTTAATTTGCATACAAATGAAATAACACATAATCCTATGCTCTGCCATTTATGGCGTATCCTGAGTGGCGCAGTGGTCTAAGGCACTGCATCGCAGTGCTAACTGTGCCACTAGAGATCCTGGTTCGAATCCAGGCTCTGTCGCAGCCGGCCGCGACCGGGAGACTCATGGGCGGCGCACAATTGGCCCAGCGTTGTCCAGGGTAGGGGAGGGAATGGCCGGCAGGGATGTAGCTCAGTTGATAGAGCATTGTGTTTGCAATGCCAGGGTTGTGGGTTCGATTCCCACGGGGGGCCAGTATAAAAAAATATGTATTCACTAACTGTAAGTCGCTCTGGATAAGAGCGTCTGCTAAATGACTAAAATGTAAATGTAAAATTTATCTGATGCACATACTGCAATTGCTTTTAGTAGAACTGAGCAAAGCACATTCAATGCAAAGCCTGCATAGCTGCATTCTCATTTCAAACAAATAGCTCCAGTGGCAAATGTGAGTGAGGTATGGCTTCCTCTGCCTTCACAGTTGGAGTGGAGTCAGGCTCGTGTCTCTGACCTACTGATGCCAGCTCCCCATGGATATCCCAGTTACTGGATCATTTCCAATATATTTCATATAAACAGAAACATCTAGCTAAATGAGAGAGCGAGAGAGAGAGAGAGAGAGCGAGAGAGAGAGCGAGAGAGAGAGAGATAGAGAGAGAGAGAGAGAGAGAGAGGATTCATATATTATATCCTGTTAATGTGGGATATGGGGATATAAAGGGATAAGGATATCCCCTACACTTTGCCCATGTGGTCCAGAAAATGTTCCAGGTTCAAATGTTAACATTGGTTTAACTGTTAAAAATTATTTATATTGAAGCAAGAGTGTGTGGCTAAATTTTTTCTAAAAGTCTTGATTAAACCATCAACATGTACCAAATTTTTAATTATAATTTACCCCTTGGAGCAAAAATTCACCAAAAAACAATTTCACAAACACCCAATGTGACGACGTGGCCGAGTGGTTAAGGCGATGGACTGCTAATCCATTGTGCTCAGCATTACATTTACATTTTAGTCATTTAGCAGACGCTCTTATCCAGAGTGACTTACAGTTAGTGAATACATATATTTTTTATTTTATTTTTTATATGGGCACAATGCCTGCCCTCCAGGACATCTACAGCACCTGGTGTCACAGGAAGGCTAAGCAGATCATCAAGGACTTCAGCCACCTGAATCTCCGGCTCTAGAACAGTGGTTCCCAACCTTTTTCGGTTACTGTACCACCAACTGAATTTTGCTCTAACCGGAATACCGCTGAAGTACCTCCTCATGTGCATTTTACCAGTAAGCTTATGGTCTCATGAGTCTTCTCAAGTACCGCTTGTGGATAGGCCCAGTACCCCCAGGGGTCCTAGTACCCTTGGTTGGGAACCACTGATCTAGAAAGCGGAGACAGTACAAGTACATCAAAGCTGGGACCAAGAGACTGAGAAACAGCTTCTATCTACATGCCATCAGACTGTTAAACATGAATCACTAGCTAGCCTCTGACCGGTACCCTGCCCTGAACCTTAGACACTGTCACTAGCCGGCTACCACCCTGTACTCTACCCTTCACCTTAGAGACTGCTGCCCTATGTACATAGAGTCATTGAAAACTGGTCACTTTAATAATGTTTACATACTGTTTTACCCACTTTATATGTACAGTTGAAGTCGGAAGTTAACATACACTTAGGTTGGAGTCATTAAAACTTGTTTTTCAACCACTCCACAAATGTCTTGTTAACAAACTATAGTTTTGGCAAGTCGGTTAGGACATCTACTTTGTGCATGACACAAGTAATTTTTCTAACAATTGTTTACAGACAGGTTCATCCTTGGGAGAAATTTCCAAACGCCTGAAGGTACCATGTTCATCTGTACAAACAATAGTACGCAAGTATATACACCATGGGACCACGCAGCCATCATACCGCTCAGGAAGGAGACGCGTTCTGTCTCCTAGAGATGAACGTACTTTGGTGCGAAAAGTGCAAATCAATCCCAGAACAACAGCAAAGGACCATGTGAAGATGCTGGAGGAAACAGGTACAAAAGTATCTATATCCACAGTAAAACGAGTCCTATATCGACATAACCTGAAAGGCCGTTCAGCAAGGATGAAGCCACTGCTCCAAAACCGCCATAAAAAAGCCAGACTACAGTTTGCAACTGCACATGGGGACAAATATCGTACTTTTTGGAGTAATGTCCTCTGGTCTGATGAAACAAAAATATAACTATTTGGCCATAATGACCATCGTTATGTTTGGAGAAAAAAGGGGGTGGCTTGCAAGCCGAAGAACACCATCCCAACCGTGAAGCACGGGGGTGGCAGCATCATGCTGTGGGGGTACTTTGCTGCAGGAGGGACTGGTGCACTTCACAAAACAGATGGCATCATGAGGAAGGAAAATGATTTTGATATATTGAAGCAACATCTCAAGACATCAGTCAGGAAGTAAAAGCTTGGTCGCAAATTTTTTATTTTTTATTTTATTTCACCTTTATTTAACCAGGTAAGCCAGTTGAGAACAGGTTCTCATTTACAACTGCGACCTGGCCAAGATAAAGCAAAGTAGTGCAATAAAAACAACAGAGTTACATATGGGGTAAAAAAAAAAAAAAAAAAAAAAAAAAAAAAACATTAAGTCAGAAATACAACAGAAAATATATATACAGTGTGTGCAAATGTAGCAAGTTATGGAGGTAAGGCAATAAATAGGCTATAGTGCAGAATAATTACAATAGTATTAACACTGGAATGCTAGATGTGCAAGAGATTATGTGCAAATAGAGATACTGGGGTGCAAAAGAGCAAAATAAATAACAATATAGGGATGAGGTAGTTGGGTGGGCTAATTTCGGATGGGCTGTGTACAGGTGCAGTGATCGGTAAGGTGCTCTGACAACTGATGCTTAAAGTTATTGAGGGAGATAAGAGTCTCCAGCTTCAGAGATTTTTGCAATTCGTTCCAGTCATTGGCAGCAGAGAACTGGAAGGAATGGCGGCCAAAGGAGGTGTTGGCTTTGGGAATGACCAGTGAGATATACCTGCTGGAGCGCAGACTACGGGTGGGTGCTGCTATGGTGACCAATGAGCTAAGATAAGGCGGGGATTTTCCTAGCAGTGATTTATAGATGGCCTGGAGCCAGTGGGTTTGACGACGAACATGTAGTGAGGACCAGCCAACAAGAGCGTACAGGTCACAGTGGTGGGTAGTGTATGGGGCTTTGGAGACAAAACGGATGGCACTGTGATAGACTACATCCAATTTGCTGAGTAGAGTGTTGGAGGCTATTTTGTAAATTACATCGCCGAAGTCAAGGATCGGTAGGATAGTCAGTTTTACGAGGGCATGTTTGGCAGCATGAGTGAAGGAGGCTTTATTGCGAAATAGGAAGCCGATTCTAGATTTAACTTTGGATTGGAGATTCTTTATGTGAGTCTGGAAGTTGAGTTTACAGTCTAACCAGACACCTAGGTATTTGTAGTTGTCCACATACTCTAGGTCAGACCCGTGGGACCCAAATGGGTCTTCCAAATGGACAATGACCCCAAGCATACTTGCAAAGTTGTGGCAAAATGGCTTAAGGACAACAAAGTCAAGGTATTGGAGTAGCCATCACAAAGCCCTGACCTCAATCCTATAGAAAATGTGTGGGCAGAACTGAAAAAGCGTGAGCGAGCAAGCAGGCCTACAAATCTGATTCAGTTACACCAGCTCGGTCAGGAGGAATGGGCCAAAATTCACCCAACTTATTGTGGGAAGCTTGTGGAAGGCTACCCGAAACTTTTGACCCAAGTTAAACAATTTAAAGGCAATGCTATCAAATACTAATTGAGTGTATGTAAACTTCTGACCCACTGGGAATGTGATGAAAGTAATAAAAGCAGAATAAAATCATTCTCTATACTATTATTCTGACATTTCACATTCTTAAAATAAAGTGGTGATCCTAACTGACCTAAGACAGGGAATGTTTACTAGGATTAAATGTCAGGAATTGTGAAAAACTGAGTTTAAATTTATTTGGCTAAGGTGTATGTAAACTTCCGACTTCAACTGTATTATAGTCATGGCTCATCCTATATATTTCTTCATACAAAAAC